GGCGCCTGTGCTTGGCTTAGCCGCAGTCACCGGCCACTTTTTCAAACTTTTCTCCACTAACCTCCTCTTTTCCACCTTGCTCCTGTCTGCGATACTCTTCAGTAGTGTCCCGGCTGCCATCTCCTATGATCGCCAGACTCTTTTGTCCTTCCGTTTGTTCACGATCGCCCACGATATTCTGGTCTGGTTGAACTCTGCCCGAGTGGTAATTCTTTTCTTAGCCAGCCCCGGGGTTCTGGTCGTGGTGGAGGCCTAGCTGTTGTTTACAGAGACCATCTTCCACGTAGCTCTACAACCTCTGGTCACTTTGCTTCCTTTGAACTGCAGCTGATTAAAGTCGGGTGTAAGGACCCGTTCTACTGTGCTGTGGTCTATCGTCCACCTGGTCCAAACACTTCTTTCCTTCAGGAGTTTAGTAACTTTCTATCCTCCACTGTGAAGCTGTCCAGACTGGTGATTGTTGGTGACTTTAACATCCACGTTGATGATCCCTCCCATCACTTTGCCATGAATTTCTCCAGCACTATGGACTCCTTCAGCTTTACCCATCATGTTTCTGGCCCCACACACACCAGGGGGCACACTCTGGACCTTGTTTTTACTTCTGATCACCATTGCATTTTCTTTAGCTTGTCAGTTTCTGCGTCCCCACCTCCTGCTCGCCGTATGGTTAGTTCTCGTTTTCTTAATGAGAGCACAGCTAGAAATTTTTCTGCTGCTTTTGATCCACCCTGTTCTTCTGATAACGACCCAGATTCCTTACCTTCTCAGTCTAACGATCACTGCCTCTCCATTCTGGACAACATCTGTCCTGTCAGAACCAGATTAGTTCCTGCAGTGAACCCTACTCCCTGGTTTAATGACAGCCTTCATAGCCTGAAGTGCCAATGCAGAAAAATTGAGCGTTTGTGGAAGAAAACTCATCTCCACGTCCATCTGCTGCACCTAAAAGATCTTCTGACATCCTTTAACTCTGCAGTCAGAGACGCTAGGGTTTCCTATTTTTCCAACCTGGTGTCCCAGAGCAAAGGGAACCCCAAGTTGCTGTTTAACACCATCAGCAGCATCGTCTCTCCTGCCTCTCCTACAGCCTCCATCCACTCTGTTGCAAACTGTGAGAACTTTCTGTCTTTCTTTGTGGACAAGTCAATAAGGTTAGATCTAGCATCTCTCCTTCAGCCTTATCACTGCCTCTCCCGACTCCAACCAGGCCCATCATCCTAGATAGCTTTGCTCCTGTTTCTTTGCCAGAGTTAACCAAACTAGTTAACTCTATGAAGACCTCTGCATGCCCCCTCCACATCTTACCCTCATCTTTGTTTAAAAGTGCTTTTCAGTCCATCGGTCCCAGCGTGCTCTCTATAATTAATGCTTCTCTGGTTTCTGGTCAGGTCCCTGCTTACTTTAAGAACGCTGTAATCCACCCGCTTCTTAAAAAAACGAGTCTTGACCCCTCTCTCCATAGCAGCTTCAGACCATCTCTAAACTTCCGTTCATCTCCAAGATCTTAGAAAAGGTTGTGGCTAAACAACTCACAGCTGCTCTTGATGAACATAACATCTATGATAGCTTCCAGTCAGGTTTTCGTAGAGCTCATTCTACTGAAACAGCTCTTCTTAGGGTCTCTAATGACCTTCTGACTCAGTGATGCAGGGGACTGTTCTGTTCTGGTCCTGCTGGACCTGACTGCAGCTTTTGACACTGTTGACCATCACCTGCTACTGGAGAGGCTGAGAGACTGGGTAGTTCTATCAGGAACGGCTCTGGAGTGGTTCTCCTCCTATCTTTCTGAGCGTTCCTTTTCTGTGGCCGTCTCCAAGTTTAGGTCCTCCACCACCTCCCTTACCTTCTTGGAAAATTAACGGGTTCTTAACCTCTAATCGGAAGCCCGTTAAACATGAAGACCTCTTCATGGCTTGTGATAACCCTAGCGACATCACATGACATGCAGATCTATTGGCGTGAAGTCAAAGGTCTTTCTCGTGTACCCGGAACTGATAAGGATCTGATTGCAGACTCTCTTGCCAAACAAGGTGCAGCTGTTGGTACCCCATGGTCCTTTAACCCCTTGTGGCTCCCTGACAGTGTGTCTTCTCGGTCAAACCCACCCCGTGTGTGTGTCGTGACTTGAGCTCAGGCCGTTAACGCGTCCACCTCTCGACCGTCCGATGGTTTTGAGTCTGTTCTTCTTGTCTTTTCTGAAAACAACCTTGTCAGTCTTCAGTCCCAGGACTCTGATATTAGCAGGATGATCCTGTACCTTTCTGATCCGACAGCTCATCTGCCTTCTCCTGTCAAGCTTGACTCCGTTCCTGAGCTATGGGCTCTCTTTCGTGTTCGTGTCATTCCCTCTCTAGGTGTTGTTAACTACAACGGCGCTGTCAGAGTGACAAGTCGATCCACAGCCTCCAAGGTCAGTGACACCCACAGAGTCTGTGTCGTCTCTGCAGCAAGATTGCTTCACTCGGGGGTGGGAAAACCACCTAAAGCTTGGTTTATGCTTGACGCATTCACTTTCCGCTTGGTGATGCGGCTCGCGGATGGAACGCGCTTCACAACTTGCAGCGTTTATAGGTTCATGCGGCTTGTCTCTGCGGTGAGCTAATATTCTCTCAAACTGTAGGGGGCAGCATAGAGCTCTACGGCATGCATCCAACACTACACCATAGTAGAAGTAAAAATTACTGTTTACAACATGGCATTCCAGCATGTTTTAACAGCTTCCTCGTCTTTTCCGACAGTGCGAGCTATTTCTCTCCAAGAATTATTAACAACGTGTTGATCGCGGTGATCTTTGAGAGCTGAATCATACAAATGTCTGCATTTACGAACCTCTGCCATACTAGTTCTTGCCAGTCCTCCATGTTTTTCCGCGTCCGACCGTCCGCATGGTTAGAAAATTTCCTAGGTGCGCGGTGCGGAAATTTTGGGCCGTGCAGAGGCGCTGTGGAGGGGCGTGGTTGTTAAAATGACGCAACCTCGCGGATGCGTCAAGCATAAACAACATTAACCTAGGGGAGTTTGCAGTGGCACTGCACCTGAGACTCCGCACACTGGAGTGGGAACACCACCTGCCGAAGGGGGAGTTGATGGTGGCGCCGAGACTCCAGCTGAAGCCCAGTACCTTGCGGTGGGGATGCCACCTGCCGAAGGGGGGGGCTGACAACATCACTGACCCTACTCCTACAGCTGGTGCTAGTGACCTCTAGACCTGACGTTGGTGACTCGCCTACCACAGGGGGAAGGTTGAATGCCACCCTGTGACCCATAGACTGTACATATACAGTCTGTGTCCAGTACTGTGACCACACTGGCTGACCCTGATCTCTGACTGCACCTGCGAGTTGTAACGTCAATAAACCATTACGCTACAGCGTCGACCGAGGGCCCTCCAGAGAACACACCTGTGCCAGACACGTTCTGAGACATTGCATTCACCTGCAAACAAACACTTCATATTAGATTCATCCAAACACAGGGTTGCTTTTTTAATACCAAAGTCTTTTTAATATCAAAGTCTTAAATAAATTGTCATGTTTTATAATTGTTTAGTAATAAATTTCTTAACCTTCTTAAACTTGACTCTTTCTTGAAATAAACACAGAGTGGGTGTACATTGATCACTGAACAGGCAAAGATCTTTAGATCTTCTGAATTAACAAATAATCTTTGCTATTAAATTAAATCTTTAAAAATAAATATAATCTTTTGATTAAACATAGACCAAGCAAGTTGGTGTATGAATTTATATCTATTATATTTATATATCCATATATAATCTCATTCGTCAATTTGTTTGATCTTAGGAATTAAATATAAGATGATAGCAACAGCCTTTAATTCCTATGTTTAGGTCATTAACCCTACAGTAACATTGAATCATCTCTGGTTTCGGTGTTTAACTGGCTTATGCAACATGTGGTGATCTCTCCTCACATCAGCATGGAGCCATAAAAACTCTTCCAGACAGAACATCACTTTATTTAGAAGTAGGGAATATAAAAACATAGATGGAGTAAACTAAGGAAAGATGGGCAAAGCGGGCAGATCTAAAGGCTCCTTATGCTAAATAAATGGGACTTGTGATAGAGCTAGTATGTGCTGACACGCAGCGGTCAGGGTTGTACAACAGCTCCATAGACTGTACATACAGCTCTTATCTATGGAGCTCCGGACCCCACGTGACTCTCAGTTAGTAGACGCCATTTTGGCAGGGAAAAAAAGGTAAACAAACACAGATGTAAACATGAACATGAACGGGATCCGCTTGGATTTTACTTCGTCTGAGTTTACTTCACACTTTAAAACCGAAGAAATCGTTTTATATAGTCAGAAATTAAATAGACTAAACCTCTCCGACCACCGTGCCCCTGGGATACTTTTTAAAAACGCCAGAAGCTGTCGGAGCGGACTTCTTACAGGGACCTGGCCGGGGAACCCCTTGGGATTTCCCCGGAGGAGCTGGCTCCGGCGGCTGAGGAGAGGGAAGTCTGGGCCTCTCGACGCTACATGCCCCCGCAACCCAACTCCGGATAAGCGGATGAAAATAGATGGATGGATGGACAAATAACAGATTTACACGGAAGTAGTTTAAATAGAGTGCTGTGCTGTTTGAATGTATAAACTGAACGCAAAGAGAAATCACTTGTTTGATTTTTTTCCGTGAATAAAATAAATATGTCAGGCAGGAGCGTCTCAGGATCTGTCTCGGTGAGACAGATAATAGCAATCCAAAGTGCTTTTTATGTGATCTGACAATTGATCAACCATTGCTTAAAAATTAAATACAGCTTAGCCGATTAATTGCTGTGATCATTGAACACGTAAACGGCAGCACGCAGAAATCACGAGGTAACGTTTTACGTGATGTTTACTTGTTGCTGTGAGTACTAGGACAGAAAAAGCCACGCCTAAATAAGTTTAGGAAGCCCACTAAGAATCGTAATAAAAGCAATTAAAATAAATACCATACACAGTTGAGGAAACGTTGGTTTAAGTACCTGATATGAAGCGGTCGCTGCATTATTTATAAGTGAAAACCTTTACTCTCGGGGTCCCACAGTTTCATTTTAGCCCGGTCACTAAGCGCGTTTTATTACAATCATCTGTTCTAAGTACAACCAATGTAATAAAATGACTCAACGTCCTTCAGCTCAAGAGGTGTCGTGTTTATTTCTCAGCCCGCTGAACTCCTAAACTCCTCCCACTTCAGGCAAGTCTTAAAGGCATACACACTGTATCTATTCACATGACATCTCCCCTCCTTTGAGTCAGAGACAGTGTAAACAGAGTATGTGAAAGAACAAAGTACATCTTTTCCTCAAAGCATTGGAACCCTCTGTAACAGCAACCGACAGTAGGAACATAACATAGATGCTTTTAACCAAAGAGTCAATCACAATAATTACAAACGATCACCCAACACTCTCTTTTTTTTTTGGAGGCAACAGGCAACCATACATGCGTCGTTGGGGTGATGGGGTGGACTACCCAAACACCCTTATAGCGGCCGGAGGTTATTCTGCTCCATTTAGGCCGGCTATACAGTTCAATAACAAACAAAGTCCTTGAGCCTCCTGGGGGTCCAGATGACTCTGCCTGTAGAAGACATCCGAGCTGATCCTGGAGGAGAATCAGAAAGGTCTGCTGGGACGGTCCCTTGGGCAGGCGAAACAGACTCTTCATTAGGTGAGGCAGCCCCTCTAACCGGGGAGCCTAAAGGTGTGGGTTGGGGTGTTGACGATGGTGGTGGTGGCTGATCTGCCACACCAGGAAGGAATATTGGTCGTAGATGGCGCCGGTTCCTCCGCAGTGTCCCATGTTCTGTCTGGATCAGGTAGGACCTCGGAGCTAGATGTGGTTGTTGGACCGTTGCCGCAGATGTCCAGCCAGAATCACCATCAAGTTTCACCGCCACATCCTGCCCGGGTGTAAGGGGTGGGAGTGCTCTGGCACCATGGCGTCGGTTGTAGGCATGTCCGTAGCTCCTTTTCGCCTTGGCATCGGCTGCACGCACCTTTGCGAAGTTGGGCCACTTAGGCAGCAGAACCTTACCGATTGTAGGTACAGTCGTCTTGATCTGACGACCCATCATCAGCTGGGCAGGACTGGCCCCTGTGGCTTGTACTGGCGTGGCTCTGTAGGCCATGAGAGCCAAAAACGGGTCGTCCTGCCGGAGAATCCTCTTTGCTGTCTGAACAGCTCTCTCGGCCCCACCATTGGCCTGAGGATAGTGGGGGCTGGAGGTGATGTGCCTGAAATCATAGGCTACAGAAAAACCTTCAAACTCTTTGCTCGTAAACTGTGTAGCATTGTCAGTGGTGAGTTCATCTGGACAACCCCACCTAGCAAACATGTTTTTCAGGCGGGAACATATGGTCTCACTCTTCATGTCCGGTAGGTGAGCCAACTCTAAATAACGAGAATAAAAGTCCACAACTACCAAGTAATGTTCTTTTTCATACTCACAGATGTCCGCGCCTATCGATTGCCAGGGCCTCTGTGGTAGTGGTGTTGTAATCAGAGGCTCCTTCTGTTGTGTAGGTCTGACTCTCATGCACTCCAGACATTTTGTCACTAGTTCCTGGATGTCCTTCCCTTGTCCGGGCCACCACACACTCAGGCGCGCTCGTTCCTTACACTTGGTGATGCCTTGGTGTCCATCATGTAACCGGTGAAGGATCTCTTTTCTCATACTGTGAGGAATCACGATGCGGTCTCCATACAGCACAAGACCCTTTGACGTTGACAGGCTGTTACTGCAGTGGTGATAAGCTTTAGCTTGTGCGGGTACGCTCCCCACATACTTTGGCCATCCCTCCAAGATCAATCTTTTCACCACCTGCAGGTCATAATCCACACTCGTCTCCTGCTTGATCCGTTCCAGTTTGGAGGGTGACATTGGCCATGCCATGTGAGCTGCATCTTCAAACACTGAAACATCATACGTTAGCTCGGACACTTCACTTGTTATTACAGGTAATGGCTGTCTGGAAAGCATGTCGGCTACTGTCAGTGTTTTCCCCGGCACATACTCTGCGATGGGGTTAAACTTCATCATCCGCATCAGCAACCGCTGGCACCTCAAGGGGACCCTATCAAGATCTTTGTTGTTAATTAGGGGAACCAGCGGTTTGTGGTCTGTATGGACTGTAAAGTTGTCCAGGCCATATAGGTAAGTGGAAAATCTCTCGCAGGACCAAACTGCAGCCAGGCATTCTTTCTCTATTTGTGCATAGCGCATCTCAGCTTCAGTCAATGATCTTGAACAGAAAGCTATTGGTTTCAGTCCATCTGAGTGTCTCTGTAACAGTACCCCACCTAGCCCGTAGCTACTCGCATCTGCACTCACCACGGTTGGTTTGGTTACATCATAGAATGCAAGTGAAGGTGTGGTGGAAATGAGTTGTTTTACCTAGTTGAATGCGTTATCTTGTGCTGTGTCCCAGGTCCACACTGTTTCACTCCTCAACAGGTCATTGAGTGGCTTTATCACATCAGATAGGTTGGGCAGGAAGCGTCCAAGGTAATGGACCATGCCCAGGAACCTCCTCAAGCCAGGCACATCAGTTGGGGGCTGTAGCTCTGTGATGGCAGCTACTTTAGAGGGATCAGGCTGAATGCCATCACCGCCGATTTGATGTCCCAAATAGCTCAGCTGTCTTTGTCTGAGGAAACATTTCTCATTGTTCAGTTTTAGGCCTGCACTTTTCAGGATACGCAGAGCATTTTGGAGTCTCTCTTCGTGTTCTTTATCATCTCTGCCATGGACGAGGATGTCATCCATGTACACTTCCACTCCCTCCTGTCCTCTGAACAGCACAGACATTTCCCTCTGGAAAATTTCTGGCGCACTGGAGATTCCAAAGGGCAGTCGCTTGAAAAAGAACCGACCCACTGTGGTAATGAACGTGGTTAGTTTAGCTGTCCCTCTCTCAAGTGGGATTTGCCAGAAGCCGCTTGCTGCATCCAGTAGAGAAAATACTCGAGACTCTGCTAGCCTCGGCAATATATCATCTATGGTGGGTAGGACAAATCGTTCCCTCTTCACCGCCATGTTCAGTCTCTTCAAATCAACACAAATCCGTACCTCACCATTTTTCTTAGGGACTGGAACTATGGGAGCACACCACTCTGTTGGCTCTGTTATTTCTTCTATGACATTGCATTTCAGCATCCTGTCGAGCTCGATCTCGACTTTAGAGAGAAGGGGGGCAGACACTCTCCTTGCTGTGCTGACGCTGTATGGGACAGCGTCGTCCTGCAGATGTATTTTCACAGGTTTTATTTTTAGGAGGCCTAGATCCGTCCCGAACGTGCTTCTCACCTCTTCCATTTTCCTCACCAGTCCCATCGCCACAGCAACATCACGGCCTAATAAGTTGCTACCATTAGTTGTTTCCATAACGTGGATGTTGAACCTGAAACTTTGCCCTTTATATTTTGTAGTGGCAGTGAACAGTCCTAGACAGTTGAGCCTTCCACCAGGGCTGTCGAAAACTGTGTGGGCGCTTGATAGTTGGGGCGAGCTGTTGAGGCGATGATATGTGTCCTCTGAAATTACACTGGCATCTGCACCAGTATCAATTTTGAAGCTGACAGAGGTACCGCAGATGTTTAGTTTGACAGTCCATGGCTTATTAGAGTCAGTTACATGAAGATGTATTGTTTTTATCTCGCCCAGGAAGTGCCCCTCGTTGTAATTTTCATCCAGCCTTTCTCTTCTTGTTATTTCATTTACTCTTGCCGAGCGGCACACGGCGGCAAAGTGTCCAATTTTATGGCAGTTTCTGCATTTTGCTTGCCTGGCTGCACACAGCGTATTGCTCCTGTGATCCCGTCCGCACCTGAAGCATTTAGATTCTGCAGCGCTGCCGTCGCGTTGCCCTGGCGCCTGGGGCCCGCCGCCACCCCGCGCCCTCTCTCTTCCTCTGTGTTGTTGGGAAGGCGCAGCACGCACATTGTGTCTAACCTCACTCAGAGCTGCTGCATCCCTGCAGTCACAGGTACAAGAATGTGTGACCTCACTCAGAAATGTTGCATCTCCCGTGTCAGCCTTAGCTTGCTGGTTAACTTGCCCCTTTATCTGCTCAGAGTGTCTCACCATCTCCACGGCTTTCTCCAGTGTGAGGTCAGCTTTCAACTGTAGTTTCTCTGACATGTCTTTATCCAGGATCCCAACCACTAACTTGTCGCGAATGTTTTCAATCTTCGCTGGACCAAACTGACAGGTCTCGGCCAGTTCATAGAGTGTACGTATGTATTCCTCCGCGGGCTCACCCTTCTTTTGCGAGCGGAGGTAAAACCGTGCTAGTTCGTGGATGACGTTAACTTTTGGAATGAAGTAATTATTTAGCTTTTCCAATACCGTGTCATAGTCCTCCTCATCCTCCTCCTCAACGAACCGCAGAGTGTTAAACACTTGTTCTGCTTCCTTGCCAAGCGCGTAGAGTAGTGTGCTAACCTGCACAGCACCATCCTCAAGGTTTAGCTTAGTTGCTAGCCGGTAACGCTGGAACCGCTGCCTCCACTCCGGCCACTGCTCCGGGCGGGTGAAGTCAAAGTTGTCGGGAGGGTTAAACTTGGCCATATTCACCGCTTAACTTCTGACACCATGTTCTAAGTACAACCAATGTAATAAAATGACTCAACGTCCTTCAGCTCATGTCGTGTTTATTTCCCAGCCCGCCGAACTCCTTCTAAACTCCTCCCACTTCAGGCAAGTCTTAAAGGCATACACACTGTATCTATTCACATGACACATCCAACGTTTACGGCGTTCCGGATCTTGGGGAATCCTGTATAAGGCTCTTCCCTTATCTTGTCCGCATCTGTTCTGCATCCTGGGGCACAACAGGAATCTACCATATTTCCCGTTTGATTGAGTTTTCTGACAATAACAAATAGCCCAGCTGCCGGTGTTGTGCCATAAATCGACTTGCTGCCAAAAAATGATTAGCCACTAAAGAAAGGTAGGGGAAAAAAATCAAATCGCTGGAGAATTGTTTATTTACATTTATACAACGTTTACATTCAATACAGGGCGCCATTTTATATTGTTTATTTTTAGTATCAAGGCTGTAACATAAAGAAAGCCAGTTCTTACCACAAACCACCTTTCAATCGCATATTTCTCGCCATGTATATTTTCGCTCGCGAGTCCCGTTCACACGCGCGCTGTGGACCCAATCCGCGTGCACGGGTTGTGGCACGCTTCAAACGCCATAGATTAATATATCCTCATTGCGAACGTTTAAGACAAATAGCAACACTTAAGGGTCCCGTAACATCCATCCTGTCAGAATAGGCCTTGGGAGCCCAGGTGTTACTAGAACTAATGGTGTTTCCTCACCAGCGTGAGCCTCCAAACTGTGAAGGTTGGTCTCCAAATATGAACTTTAAACTTCCGAACTGGACAAAACTAAGCTAATCATTTTTTGGCAGTGAGTCGATTTATGGCACAACACCTGGAAAAGTGACAGTGACAAAAACAAATATGTAAACTAGCAGGTTGTTTAAAAATATTATACAAAACAAGCAATTTAGACAATATAAGAATAAAAAGCGAGTAAAATCGGGAGATTTTTTTCTGATACAATACTCGTAAATTTTACTTTGAAATCAATAGTTTTTGTGAAAATAAAATCTCAGAATTCAGAAATCAAACCTTCCATTTTACTATTGTCACCACCCCTATTAATATAAATGTATATATATATATATATATATATATATATATATATATATATATATATATATATATATATATATATATATATATTTTTTTTTTTAAATAGACGTTCGTAAATTATAATTTGAGTATTTTTAAATCATGGCACATAGTGATATCCGGTTTTTGGCAATACCGCGGTGCATTATGGCCTCTAATGGACACTCCTTTACAATCTGCCGTTTCACAACCCAGCTAAAGAAACTGCGCGCAGCGAGGGTACCAATTGGCTTTTTAATTTGCGTGGAAGCATTTGCCAACGGGAACATTTGTTGCAATAAAACTGATAATTTAATATCAACACATGTATTAGACATCCAGTATCTGCTCTTAAACTCAGGCTGTAGAAGTGAACTACCCCCGCCTGCATGTTACGCCGCATGGAGCCTTGGGACATACATGGTGCGAACCCCTGCTGTCGCTGCGCTACTAGCTGTTATGCTAACTTGAAGAGTTACGTTTTCCGACCTAAACACCACCTCACGTGTTGATTCGGGAGACTCGCTGGTTACCAGTTGGCCACTGGTGCCTCTTGTGTTTTTGGTACATGTCACCGCGAACCGTGATACCAGCAAAGAAACAAGACGCGGAGGTAAAGAGCGCTGTTGGTAAAAAGGTTAGAGGAGCTTTAAACTGTGTAAATAATACACAGCTCCACTTCCTCCAGCATTACTTTAACACTTATAACTTTGTCTTGTCGTTGATATTTACGAGGCTGGACTCCCTGAAAACAACTTTGGGGTAACTCGTAGGAACTTTTAACCCACAGCTGGACTCTCATGTTCTCATGGAGGCAGAAGCGTCTCTTTATTCCCTGCTGACACGGCTTTAATGACTTCTTCGCTGCGGTGATAACCTCCAGCATGGCTGCAGCCTGTGTGAAGGCTGCGTGTTTTGCCGGTGTTGAGGTTAAACTTCACAGACTGCTGCTGGCTGGCTGCGAGAACTCCTCCAGGATATCTGTTGTTGGCAGGTTTCCTCCGAAGCGCCTTTTCAGCTCTCTCTGCCCTTTGCCATCAAGACTTGGTGGGACACTCGTCCTCTGGAGTGTCCGAACTGTGAGTCACCAGCTGAAGCACAGCGTGCCTTTTGGAAACGGGAAGGCGGCGGTGTTCAGCAGGAGCTACAGAGATGTTTGCACAAATGTGTCCCTGTCGAGATGTGCGGTGCTGAGAAGGAAGCTCCTGCTGCAAGGAGGTGCAGCATGGCCAGGTAAGATTCACACCATCACAAGTAAAGCAAAGACAATCCCAGATGAATCACATATCTTTATTTTAAAAACACCATCATGCATATAGTACTGGGCAAAATGTTACCGTGTTCATAAGAAAACAGTGAATTTAGACAACTGAGAAAATGTACACAGCACAGGGGTGCAACCCAACAAAGTGATGTGTTTTGTTAGATAAAAATGTTCCAGTCCCATCTCTAAAACACGGAGGTGGTAGTATCAAGGTTTGGGTCTGTTCTGTTAAAAATGTTACCAGTCCCATCTCTAAAACACGGAGGTGGTAGTATCAAGATTTGGGTCAGTTCTGTTAGATGAACGACACCTGCAAACTAAGGGGGGGGGGGGGGGGGGTGAGGGCTAAATGTTCTGCAACAGTTCTATTAAAGAAAAATCTTATAAATCACCTTAAACTAGTAGAGATCTTTTTGTACGAGCCACTTTGATCATTTCATATCGAGATGAAATCTACCAACAAGTCAGATCTAAGCTTATCCTGGATAATCTGGAGAAGGTTTACAACAAATGCTTAGTTTAGCGCTGCAGAAACTGGTCACACAGGACAGGAAGATGGATTCTCACACTTTTATGAGATTATTCTTCTCAACTGACAAACTGGAAATAGAAAAGTGTTTAAAATATTTTTGCTGGTTTGTTCTGCTTTATATTTGAGATCATTCTTTCCACAGCATCCATAATCCGCCGGAGGGTGACAGATGCTCCTCTTTCCAGTGTGTCTCCCACCTTTATAGTGGTGAGGAGTCAACTGTCTTTGAGAAGCTTTGTAAACTGTCAAAAATCAAATGAATTTTCATCTAGTAAGCAGCATTCATTCTGTTGTGGTTAAACTTAAACGATGTGAATTAGTTCTGTTTGTTTTGTGACAGATGAAGTTCGACCAGGATGGAAATGTGACATCATTCGGTAAGTGTCAGTATATTTATCATATTCAGTGTTTTTTATACAAATATGATAAAAGCTCGTTCATATGTTGGCGGGTGTTTGCCGTTGTGACCCTTTGATGGTGGATGTGTCTACGTTACGCTCGTCATATTTCACAGAAAAGAAGAAGACAGAACTTTACCAGGAGCTGGGTCTTCAGGCCAGAGACCTTCGCTTCCAGCACAGCACCAGCCTCTCTACCAGAAACAACTGCATCATCATACGAATGGCTGTATGTTCATTTTCTAGTTTTCTGATTGGCTTTTTATCTGAAAACATCTTATTATCAGTTCAATCCAAACCATTAGAGGTGCATGCAGATGGTTGTACTTCGGTTCAGCCATGGACTAGTCCTTCCAGGAACAATCCCACTAATGCGACATTTCAGTACAGCTGAGTTTGAGACTAAAGGCATAAAAAGTCTTTAGTCTGAGGGCAGCAGAGTGATAAAACTGGAGTTAGCCCCATAAACACAACACTAGGTCTTCAGTTTTAGGAAGGCTTTGGATTTATTGTGATATTTGATGGTGACAGGAGATGGTGGGAAAGAAAATAAAACCACGAATGATCCTGACTGCATGTTTTACCATTTTTATGTGTTTATTGGAAGATCTTCTTTAGCTTCCACTGTTTCCACAGCAGGGAAGTCGTACAGCAGAGCTTTAGCGTAGAAGTGAAGAAGTGTCCCACACCAATATTAAAACGAGCAGAACAGCAGAAATGGTAAGAAGTACAGATGAGACGTTCACCTGCCGGGGGAGTTGAAATGTCTTCCTGCCCCGTGCACGTTGCAGAAGTTACCAGAGCACAAAGAAACGTCGATGCGTCAGCGAATGTTCCTAAGCTGCACAGATGTTGGGAGGTAAACATCTGTTCTCACCGGTTTGTGTTAGCTCCCGTCAGCAAACGGGACAGTCCTCACAGGTGGGGCCGCTGTATGGTGGCTCGCATTCACACTTGCCGCACACACACAAGCCTTTGCCGTTACACAGCATCGGGTTTGCTGCTGCCGCACAGGAAGTTGTGTCCGTGGAGCAACTGCAGGCCTCGCCAATCCAGTCGGGAGAACACGCGCACCGTCCACATTCACACCTCCCCTTCCCTCCGCACAGCCTGTTGGGTGAAAATGTTTTTTTCCCCCATTTTAAATGTTAAGAAACTATTTGTTTACAGATCACACTGCTGTACTCTACCTGTCGTTGTGGTACGAACACTCAAAGTTGCTGCACTCACAGTATCGCCCGCTGTAGACTTCTGTTGGATTTCCCCTCCTGTTACATTCACACATGCCCTCCACACAGCTGCCCCTGCCGCTGCACACCGGTGCAGTTGAGTGTGAGCGACACAGGATTTCATCCCACGATGAAGGAGGGTCGCTGTTTGTCTGGCATTGTTGTCCAACGTAAGGCTCGGGGCACTCACACTGGCCACAGATGAGAGCCCCGCGGCCGCTGCAGCCAGGGCTGTTCTCCTCCCGGCCTCCTGTGCAGTTACACCGACCTGCAGAGAACACGTTTACACTCTGCGTCACATCGAGGACACGCCGGCCATCTTACCCCCCGGTGCTGCTTGTTGTTCGTGTACTGAGTTTCTGATTGCTTACACACGAGTGTTATTTCTAACTTCACACTGAGGGAAACGTGTCGGGGTGTGAGAAGAATGGACCAGGGTCCAGTCCCGTTACTGGGACACTCTGCAGCTTCCACAGTCACCTAATGGGAAACGAAAGGGACTGATAACAAATCACTTTGGTTCTTTTGAAAGAACACAAACAGGAAGTAACACCTTCTAAGGAAAACAAAAGTTCTGGCCTGTAAGAGGTGGAGGTTTCCTTTTGTATCGCGTCTGAATGTGATGTTGACCCCAGCTGGCACGTCGCTAAGGTCCATGGGTAGATACGACTGGTCTGTTGGCATGGAAACGGTGAGAGGGAAAGACTGTCTTACTCCTGGCCTCAGATGGAGGGAGACCTCCTGGGGCTGCAGGAAGAAAGTTCTGGAATCTGCTGCACCACTCCTGCAGAAATCACCAGGGAGGTGATCAGATCTAAATGTCCCCGAAGTTTTCTGAGTCATGGAGGTGAGGTTCATTGTGCCTCGGTAGGGAAATTAGTGAAATGGTTTCTTCTAATAGGCACATCACATCTGGACAGCCCATGAAGAAGGCTTGTGTGAGAAGTCATAAATGTCGGCAGGTAAAAGAGAAGTTTAACATCTATTCTCACTGCTTTCAAGTGCCTATTAGAAAAAAAACATTTCATTAGATTTCCGAGTCCGTTTCAAACGAGCGGAAATGTTGTTTACAGACTTGAAGAGATCACGGCGTAGTCAATGCTCACCTGGTGTCATTTCTGACCACTTGTGTGCTGCCTTTAGGGTTATAAATGAATCTCTGATGACAGCCTGCACTCTGCAGCCCGGCCGCAGTTGAACATCGAACCTGAGCATGAGGGGAGGTGCACCAGGCACACGCAGAGTCTGACTGGATGCACTCGTCGCAACTGGCAGCAGATTTTAAACACGTGTCTTTTTCTGCCTGGCTGAGAGCGAGCAGAAGCAGCAGGCCGAGCAGCTCCACCGCCATCCTGCAGTCAGACGACACTCCTTAGCTGGTGTTGAGTGGGTAATGGATTTAATCCAACATGGAGCGGTCAACGTGAAAATGATCTGAAGGAGGGCTGGTGCATTACCTGTTGCATCGACAGCCTCTGATGTTTGATTTGTGTGGTGAGATCCGCATCTGCAGCGTCTCACTACAGCTGCCTTATATCACCTACAGACCCAGGATGCAGGAGCTGATTCTGATTGGTCTGCCCGTTTCCTGCTATAGAAAATCAACACAACCCCGTTGTTGTAGGGTATCAGAGGGCTTTCATCAATCTCTGCAAATATTTACAGGTCAGAGTCAGCTACTGAGACTACGGACTTTGAAATGTGCTTGTGGGCATGAAGCACAACGTAACACAGCTAGAGAAACTCAGAGGGACCTCTGGAACAAAGTCAGCTTAATGAAAATAACTTTAGGTGCTGAAGTCTGATGCTGCATCAATTGTGGTGATTAGAAAACATCTTAAAGGCAAAAATGAATCTGCTCACTTTTCTTTGCAGTCTTTGAAAGCCATCCTGACCCCGACGTTCCTACTGGTGTTGGATTTTCGTGGTTTGGGACTGGAGCGCTGGCTGGTGCTGGATCTCGCCCCTCAGCTAGCATCACAGACACACTCTCTGCCCTTTGAGTTCAGGGCGCTGGAGGCCATCCTGCAGCACAAGGTGCCTGAAGCTTAGCTTTAAGATGAGGTTAGATGTGTTCACGCTTATCGCCTTACTCCGTCGGCAGGTAAACACTTTACAAACCCGGCTGAACGACCTTGAACCGGGACTCCTGGACAATCTGGAGTCCCTCGTGGATCCTAAAATCCTTTCTGCTGACAGAAGCAAGCTGCACATACTGTTACAGAACAGCAAGAGGTAAAGCACACGCGTGTCAGACCTGAACACGGATAACAGCACGTTTCTTTTGTGTCTGACACTCGTCTGGGTGTGTCTGGCAGCCTCTCAGAGTTGGAAACAGACATAAAGGTTTTCAAGGACTCTCTGCTGAAGGTCCTGGATGAGGATGAGATGATTGAAGAACTCTGTCTCACCAAATGGACAGACCCAAGAGTTTTGTAAGTGAATCTACAGTCATATACACTTCCATAAAACCTGAAGTGGAAGCGGGTTGTGTTAGTTCAGGGGCGTCCAATCCTGGTCATGGAGGGCCGGTGTCCAGCATGTCTTAGTTGTTCCTCTACTGGATTCAATGGTTGAAGCACCTGTGCAGCAGCCTATCATCCTCTGCAGAAGCCTGGAAATCACCAGCCGATTAAATTCAGATGTGTTGGAGCAGGGAAACAACTAAAACATGCGGTAAACTGGCCCTGCAGGATCAGGAATGGCCCTCTGTGTTAGTTAAAAGAAAACAAAAGATCAAAGCCTTCTTCATCTCGGAGAGGACGTGTTTAGCGTGTGCCTGGCTTGATAGTGAGGCTGAGGTCAGAAACTCTGTGAACTCTTTAACTCAACCTTTGTTTCTGCCAGAAAATGACCTCAAACATGAAATTCCTCATCTCAGCCAAGGATCAGGACAGGAGCTGAGACGTTCATCTTCTGATGCAACATCAGACACGTTCTCTCGGCACCATTCAGGCATTTGAAGGGAGCTCGTGTTGCCTCCGTGTACCAAATGCACTGATAACCTAATGAAAGCTGAACTCGCCTCGTCGCCACCCGTCACTGATCTGATCTGTTTTTGTTGCTGAACTAAAAGGTTTTCGAGCACCCTTAACAGTATTTGTGTTTTAGTGAGGAGAGCAGTTTGGGTATAGACCACGCTGAGGAGATGGAACTTCTACTGGAGAGTTACTTCATGCAGGTAGAGCTACTTCTTCCAGAAATAATGAAAACGCCTGTTAGATCCGTCTCCTGTCATACACAGATCATCACACCTGAACAGACGGGAATCCACTGTTATTCTGATCCAACAACGAGCTCCTCGTCCATCTTTGCCCGTTAAAAAGCCATCGTGTTTATGCTGTTTTCATTTAAGTACAAAAGCAATCCGCTGTGCATGTGATAGACTGTCAGATTGCTGCTGAACTCATGCTAAAGGTGTTAAACACAGCTGATTTTGATTCTAAAATGAGTTCATCGGGACAGAAAAAGACTCATTTGGTTCTTAAAATGAACTTTTTAAACAACTTCAAATGGAGTATTCTTTATTATCCTAATATAATACTAACCCCAGAGACGGCATCTGGAAGACTAAACTCTTACTGTATGATTAAGGTTAATAGTCGTGTGTATACCTACACGTTACCTGTATACCCAACAAACACCTCCATAGAGGCTGGCGTGTGGACAGTTAGCTGGTCTGGAGCGTACAGACCCCAAACACAGCACTCCTACCATATGTTGGTGTCCAAACCTCTTTTTCATACAGTTCCACTTAGTGCATTGGTTTTCTGACGTGTGTGTGTGTGTGTGTGTTTTGTTTGACAAATAAAACTTTAAAGAAGATTAACTTTTTGTACGTGTTCATATCACTGTGTGCTGCATGCAGGCTGAGGAGCTGGGCAACAAGGCCAGAGAGCTGAAGGGACTAATAGACGACTCGGAGAGTGTCATCTTCATCAATCTGGACAGGTGTGCGCGCACACACACACACACGACAATGTTAAATTTTCAAATATATGAAAACTACCCTGTTAATTCTCTTTAGTTGTTTTTATTTGAATGTTCTTGTTGGTCTGCGTCTGTCGCCGTGTCCCTGCAGCCATCGTAACGTGATGATGCGTCTGAATCTGCAGCTGACGATGGGCTCCTTCTCCCTCACGCTGTTCGGCCTGATTGGCGTTGCCTTTGGGATGAACTTAACAACAGCCTTTGAGGACGTGAGCGACTCTGCTGCCAAACACATCCAGCTGAACTAGAGTCTGATGATAAATTCTAAGAAACTAAAGGTTTATCTGTAACTGCACGTCTGTGTTTACCACAGGACCCCCGTGCTTTCTGGCTGGTAACTGGCTTCATGTTTCTGGGCAGCGGGTTGATATGGAGACGACTTCTGTCGTTTTTGGGACGGCATCTGGAGCCTTCAGTTCTCCCTCCGGTAACGATATTTAGGCCAAACTAACAGATCGTGTTTATTCATTTAGCAGATGCTTTAATCCATAAGATTGTAGTTTACTAGTACAGTGTTTTTTTATATTTTAGCCCCGTCTGAGCTTGTAATGAATCCTTTTTGTTCAGAATTTGAGGCTAATGCCTGAAGAGTTTGTGTTTAAAGGCGATTTCCTCTGTTTTTGACACAGATCCCTCCCATTTGGAAGAGAAATCTGAAGTCATCAGACATAAAACCAGGAGTCAGATGAAGTGTTGTTTCCCCTCTAAAACAATCTCAGACTGCAGCTTTAAAGAGGATCTGTCATCAGTTTGAGCAGTGACTAGCACATGGACCACCTGGTCTCAGAGCCATGAGGCTATCCTACCATGTTGTTGAACATCTTTTCAATGACAAGATTTTTATTATTTAAGTTAATGTTGTGTGTGTAATGCTTAAAGTGTAGTCAGCACTCAGCATGCACAGAAATGCTCCCATTTATTTTAAACCAGAGTCCTTACATAAAACTATTTATCAGATGATCATTTGGTAAGTTAATAAATGCACTAATGCACAGGAACTGTTTATGGAGTCTCTTCATAATCTGCAAACTGCAAAGGGTTTGTCTAAATAATCTGACTGGGTTAGATAAGAAGGACAGGGTAAAGAAACTCATTTTATAGATTTATCAGCTTACTTTTGTTTCCTAAATAGAAAATCTTCCTAAACCACTTTAATCTTTTTGCTGATCAGAGCCAGTGGAGGCGTGAAAACATCTAAAAACAGATTTAGTTTCTGTTAACATTTAAAAACACCACCTTGAAACGTCTATTAATAATTTAAAACCTGCATTTTCCACCTCCTCAAATCCCTGTTTGTGTCTTATCTGTTGTTCTTTGGTGTAAAGCCAATAGCGTGTCTGCTGCTGCTGCCTCTTGGCCAGGTCATCGTCCTAAATGAGAACGGGTTCACAGTGAACTCATCTGGTTAAATAAAGCTTACGTTTTAAATGTAACGACATTGTTTACGTCAAAAGTCTGATACAGTAGAACACAAAGCTTTACAACATTAAAATGATGCAAATTAAAGGTTATAACATCACTATTGTTGTGATTTATTAATAGTTTTCTTCCAAGAAGTAATTTTCTGTCGGTGCAAATAAATCAGAAAAGGCTCAAACAGCTGGTTTGTTTATCGTAGTTTCATATCTAAAGATTGGCTGCCATTGCTGCTAATCTTCACTAGAGGGCAGTGTGTCTGCAGGAGCATCGGTAATAGTGTATTTGACTCAGTAACATGCAGTGTAATATTATTTATGTGTAACGTCCAGCAATGGTCAGTTTTTAGGTACTGATTGACCATTCAACATCTGGTCAAAAGGAGACACGAGACCGCATGTTCCCTTTAAATTGGCCTGCCTTCATCCCATCAGCTGGAGCTCAGAGCCTCTCTGCAGCTCTGAACACATGCTAATGAAATGTCAGCAATGATCTCTCCTCAAGGTCCAAGCTTCCCTTGTCATTCTACAGGATTCTTCATGCCTTCCAATAAGGAACACTCGCAGCCCGGATTGGTTGCTAAATCAAAGAATGATTTCTTAAATTAAATATGAACTTTTAAAACTTATAAGCTAGATAATCATTAAATAAACATTTGTTTATTGCTACTTAAAATAATTATAATATAATGAAATGCTTCATTAATCTGTGCTCAGTGATGGAAGTTTAAAATTAATGTTATGTTATGGTTACATTGATATATGTTTCAGCATGTTTATGTGACAAGGTCGTCACCATTTGCATTCACACAAGAACAAAGTAATGTTAAGTCAAACTCATGACACATAAATAGTCCTCTACCCCAGATCAGAGCGTCTGGTATCAAAGAAGGCGTGTTTCTGAGACTCTTGGTAATATTCCTCAAACATGTCAACCTCTGGTTGGCTACACAAATCATAACATGAGAACATTAAAACCAGATTACTCTGGTGATTCCTCAGTTCTAGAGAAAGCTTCAGACCGGCCATCTGAAGCAAAACCCTCTTTAACCATCAAAGCTTTCGACACATCGTCAAAACCTGTTTGCACCTGCGAAGCTGATAAAGCAAACGGTTCTGCAGAACGAGCTGATATTGTTTAGACTCCTTAAGAGTCCCAGACGCGTGGTTCCATCCATCTGTTGTGACCTGGAGACAACTCTAAGACTGGTCTAGTAGTGCCGCAATTTCTTCTACGGACCTTGGCGCCTGGAAGTCCGAGGACTTCGACATTCCGGATATCACGAGGGTCTTCAAGTGGGTATGTAGACATGACAGATTGCGTCTGATGTGCTTTTGAACATAATCAACTTCATAGCTTAACACAAACCAAATTCTTTTGCATCCAGAACTCAGCTCTCCTAGATATGGAAGTTATGATAACATCGCATTCACACCTAGGTTTCATACATCACATTTAGTTCCATCCACTCACAGTAAATGTTAGTTAACATGTCATGTTTTAATTGTTTGTAAATTAAATTCTTACTTTTATAAACCTGACTGTTTTCTGAATCAAAACCAAGTGTGTACAAGCCCTTAATAAATAATCCTAGAATCTTCCAATAAACACACACAGACCAAGCAGGGTTGATATTCTATATTTAGATAGAGTGTCACAGCTTATTGGTCACAAGTAGAGGTAAAATATATATTGAGCTCTTAAAGAACCCAATTTACCAAACCAAATATGTTGCATGATATTATTGTAGGGTTAATGAACTACACACAGTATCTAGGAATTAAAGGTTGTTGCTATCAGCTTATGTTTTGATTCCTGAGAAGATCAAACATATTAACGAATGAAATCTACATATATATATATATATATATATATATATATATATATACATATATATATATATATATATATAATAGATATAAATTCATACACCAACTTGCTTGGTCTATGTTAATCAAAAAATTATAATATTTATTTTTAAATATTTTATTTAATACCAAACGTTATTTGTTAATTCAGAAGATCTAAAGAACTTTGCATGTTCAGTGATCAACATACACCGACTCTGTGTTTATTCCAAGAAAGAGTCAAGTTTAAAAAGGTTAAGAAATTTATTACTAAACAATTTGAAAAACAATTTATAAAAGCTTTGGTATTAAAAAGACTTTGGTATTAAGAAGCAACCCTGTGTCTGGATGAATCTAAGGTGAAGTGTGTTTGTTTGCGGGTGAGGGCATGTATCAGAACGTGTATCTTAAAGAGAGGACGCGTTCTGGGTGGAGAAAGAATTTGGTTTTGTCAATAAGCTAAGTTGTTCTTATTAAAGAGCATTCAGACGCAATCTGAGTTCTACCTCACCGTCAGGTGACCCTTGTTGTGGATCCGGAGGTCAGGGGAGGATGTTGAACAGCCTCAGCGTACTGGGTCCGGTAGGGAAGACCGATGGTACCGACTTCTCCGGTCCTAGAGATGCCGCAGGCACACAGGTGGAATTGGTTTGCGTCTGCAGATTCTTAAGGAATCTCGTAGCATCAGCTTTGTTCTGCAGGTGTCGTTTTGTTGTGTTGGAGTAACTCCTGCCAGCGTGACAGAAATTGCTTGTTTGGTTAAAGGGCGTTGGGCGGCCGTCCCAGCCTTCTCTAGAACTCACTGGCAACTGATGAGAGTTCTGTTTTAAAAGATGGCTATTATCATTTCTAACGAATCAGGTTTTGACATGTAGAAGGAAGATTTAACAAACCCCAGAAACACGCCTCCCTGAAGATAGGAAGTTCTGGTGTTATGGGACAAGATCATGTGAGTGCAGTTACCTTTAACTTAGTTACTGTGACCTGTGTGAGCTGACTAAGTGCACATGATTCTTGTCATAGTTAAACATTACTGATTATCATAAATAATTATTAATCAAAGAATAATTCATTTCAATAATTAAACACAGTTATAATGAACCTTGATGATTAGCAGTAAAAAGAGTTTATTTAAATATTTTTTTTTCTTGAAATGTCTTCTTGTTGTGGATGGAATAGCAGTCAGATAAGCAGACAGCTGCATAGATTAAAGGAGTGGTAGCAGACTTTAAGTCTCCTGTGAAGGACTCTATTGCAGATTGGAGTCGTAGCCAGGGCAAGGTGGCCCAGGCTGTGTATCTGACCTGTGATTCTTAAAATCAGGCCATTCGTGATGTTACATAATAATGTAACATCACATCTACTTTTGCTCTTTAATAAAAGAGCAAAAGTAGATTTGGAGGTGACTTGCTTTTTAAGGGTGTAGAAGGAACATATACAGTCTTGTGGGAAAGTCTTTCATGGCCTGTATTTGATATAGCACCTTCTAGAGTCCTGGAACCCCCCAAGGTGCTTTACAACACCATCAGTCATTCACCCATTCACACACTGGTGGGGATGAACTACAATGTAGCCACAGCTGCCCTGGGGCGCACTGACAAAGGCGAGGCTGCCTCTGTCAGTGCGGTCCCTCTGACCACCACCAGCAGGCAACGTGGGTTAAGTGTCTTGCCCAAGGACACGACGACAGCGACAGACTGAGCGGGGCTCGAACCTGCAACCTTCCTATTACGGGGCGAGCACTTAACTCCTGTGCCACCGTCGCCCCAGCTTTGCTTTCTTCTGGTCTTTTAAAGTGGTCAATAGTTCTTTACAATGTTCTGTCGATGGTTTCCTTTGGACTTTGGCGGACTTTTCTAATTTCCTGTACCTACAGTGGGATGCAAAGGTTTAGACAACCTTGTTAATTCATGATTTTCCTGTATAAATAGCTGGTTGTTCTGATAAAAATATCTGTTAAATATATAATATAGGAGACACACACACACAGTGATATTTGAGAAGTGAAATAAAGTTTATAGGATTTGCAGAAAGTGTGCAATAATTAAACTAAATTAGGCAGGAGCATAAATTTGGGCACCACAAAAAAGAAATTAACTCAATATTGAGAAGATCCTCTTTCTGCAGAAATCACAGCCTCTAAATGCTTCCTATAGCTTCCACTGAGAGTCTGGACTCGGGTTGAAGGTGTTTTGGACCATTTTTCTTTACAGAACATCTCTAGTTCATTCAGGTTTGATGGCTTCCGAGCACGGACAGCTCTCCTTACCTCACACCACCGATTTTCAATAATATTCATGTCTGGGGACTGAGATGGCCGTTCCAGAATGTTACACTTGTTCCTCTGCATGAACGCCTCAGTAGAATTTGAGCAGTGTTTAGGGTTGTTGTTTTGTGGAAGATCTAGCCATGGTGCAGCATGATTCCTGGACATTGGTCTCCAGAATCTGCTGATACTGAGTGGAATCCTGGTGGAATCCATGTGTCCCTCAGCTTTGCCAAGATTCCCAGTCCCTGCACACAGCCCCACAGCATGATGGAACCACCACAGTGTTTTACTGTAGGTTTTACTGTAAGTAGCAGGTGTTTGTCTTAGAATGCTGTGTTCTTTTTCCTCCATAACACCCTTTGTTATGCCCAAATAACTCAGTTTTAGATCCATCAGTCCACAGCACCAGAATGAGGCTGGCTTGTCCAAATGTGCTTTAGCCAACCTCAAGCTTCTCCGTTTGTGCTGTGGGAGGAGAAAAGGCTTCTTCTGCATCACTCTTTGTGCATCATCTCCTTGTGTAAAGTGCACCAAATAATTGAACGATGCACAGTATGATGTAGGTTTTTGGTGCTGGTCTGTGGGTTGACTGACTGTTCTCATACCATTCTTTACTTCTGTTTATCCCAGATTTTTCTTAGTCTGCTGTTTGGAGCCTTAACTGAAACTGTGCCTGTGGTCTTCCAGTATGTTCCTAACTGTGGAAACAGACAGCTGAAATCTCTGAGACAGCTTTCTGAATCTTTCCCCTAAACTACGATGGTGAACCATCTTTGTTTTCAGCTCATGTGAGAGTTGTTTTAGACCCCCACGTTGCTGCTCTTCAGAGAATATTCAAAGAAGAGGGAAACTTTCAATTGTCCCCTTAAAATACCTTTCTCATAATGGGATTCACCTGTGTATGGAGGTCAAGGGTCACTGATCTTACCAAACCAATTTTGAGTTCCAATAATTAGTTCTAAATGTTTTGGAATCAATAAAAAGATGACGGTGCCCAAATTTATGCACTTGCCTAATTTTGTTTAAACAATTATTGCACACTTTCTGTAAATCCCATAACCTGTGTTTTATTTTTCAAATATCACTGTGTGTCTCCTATATGATATATTTAACTGAAAGTTTTTATCGTATAACAACCAACTATTTATACAGGAAAATCCTGACGATGCACAAACTTTTGCATCCCACTGTAATTATGACAGTGTGTTGTGCAGTGGGTGTGCTTAGAAACAGAAAAAAGTGGATGAGTCGAGGACAGAAGTGTTGGGCCTGAACAAACCGAACAGAAGATGAACAGAAACTGATCATTTTGTCATTAGGAAAAATAAAGAAAACAAGTCAGAATCTTGAATAGACCTCAGACAGGACCTAGCAAAACATGTCTGCTTGTCACTGTTCAACAAAAAACATGCTAATATGTTTTTTTAACCTTTTTTTACAGGGTAGTAACAAAAGGATGACCTATACATTTGCTAAATCTAGCAAGTTCTGAGTCTGCGCCCATGTTTCTTCTTAGTGGATGTACGCAGGAAATTTTAAGGCCAGGACTCCCACCTGGAGCTAGGCTGGGAGGGTTCTTTGGGTTTGTCCATGCTCAGTCCAATAAAGAAAACTTGAGCCCCCTCTGAGCTCCTGGGCCCTCCAACCACAATGAGAAAGGTGAAGGTCAGGTGCAATGTAAGCCAAGTTGCAGAAAGGGCAGATCGCTCCATAAATGGGCAAAAAATAATCTCAACCATAAAACCTGAACTCTCGAGTTTTTAGATTCATCCCTTAGCTTTAAGAGATTGTCGATTGATTCTCAGCTCAGTGACAAAAAAACACACAAAAGAAAAAACTCCATGAGAAAACTAGTGGTAGACAGTACATGAGTGGAAAAAGGTAGTCTATAGATGAGCCTTAACTTTAGAAAGTTTTTAAAAAGTAATGGTCAAAAATTGCAAGGACTGAAAAATGCTTTGCTCTTAAAATCTAATGAGAACTCACAGTTTTGTACAACGCTGCGATAAATGTATTGTTTTCATGTAAAAAAAATACCATGACCAGTCAATCAACATATATTATGTTCTTATTATGATTGTTATAATAGAAGGTAATAATTAAAATAATAATATTAATTAAAATACACTTTTCTTTAATTTGGTGACGATAAAACACGAGCTGGAACGTTTAAAATGCAGTACAGTGTTTATAAAATGGTCTAAGCAGCTGCCATTTCTAACAGATCTGTGAGATCATCGCCACCTCCCCCATTTCCGCCAACCCACCTTCTTCAATGAACGTCACGCACAGTCACGTTCAGCTTACGTCAGCGCGTTGCTACGCTAACAGCCAGCTTCCAAACAACCTCAGTGTAACTTACCGTCGCGAGGAGAGGAGTGTGCGGAGGGTGCTGAGATTTAGCTAAACGTAGAGGAAAGTTTTAGAAAGAGCGTTTAAACCGTTTTCTCAGTTCTTTCTGTCCGAGTGAATTTCTTTTGATCTTTTTCACTTTTCTCCCAAGTGGTCCAACTTTTTTTTCACTTGCTCTTTTTTGTTCTTTGGTTGTGAAGATGAGGAATTTGTGGTTTTTCTTCTTCGTCGGGCTCGCGACTGGATTCATCAGGGAAAAGGTAAACGAGCTTTTAATGACAGATTTTGTTTTACATGCCTCCCGGGAAGGACACGGGTGACTTTGTGTCTTTTATTTAGATAAAATCTACTTTATAAATCGTTGAATATCGCTAGCAACAGCCAAACCTCCTCAACGTTTGATCACACAATTGTTGTTTTTCTTCTTGCCGTTTTTCCCAAAATGTTTTTTTTTGAATATTTGAACATTTAAAACGTTTTTTGTGTGTTTTTTTTAGCTTTCTTTTTTGTTTCTAGTTTAGATTTCATGTCCTACAGGTGATTAATATGAAATAAATTATAGTTTTTTTTAGCAACAGCATCAGAGGTTTGCGACTGGCCTGGGACAGGCTGGATTCCTACAACCCGCGGTGCGAATTCGAGCCAAGTTCAGACTTCCAGCTGGTGTCAAGTTTACTAGTCTGTTTAGCCTCTGGCTCACAACTGTGACATTTAAACCTGAAGCTCCAGACCAGGCCTGAAGCATACACACAGGGCTTAGGTTGTACAAATCGCTGAGTTATTTTTCTAAAATAAAAATAATGGATTACAGTGGATCTTTAATTTGAATTTTCTTAGTTTTTCTCCGTGTCTGTCTGGATTGTAAAGTGGGAAACACCTGGAAATGACGAGCTCAAACACAGCTATGTTTACTGTCACAAATGAGGGGGGAAATACAAAGCCCTGGCTGCTTGATTTATTGAGTGTAAAAATCCCAAGTGATCCAATAAACGTCACCAGCAGAAAGGAACATTTAAGATTTATCGACTTCATATTGTGAAAGTAAAAGATGAAACTTGAGACTGTGCTGTTGGATATAAATGAGAAGAAAGATGATGTCAAATGGGACAAAAAAGTGTGTGTCTTCATGTTTAATTGGACAAATTTGGACTTTAACCAGTAACGTGTAGACATTTTGCTGGTCCACACAATGTGGAGCACCCTAAAACTTGGTTTTAAAGCTATGGTGTGAATTAACTTTGAGTCTAGGTTATAGCTTAGGTTAGGGCTAGGAATAGAACCCCGATGGTTAGGGTATGAGTTAGGCATAGTGGAGTCACTAAAACGAATGGAAATCAATGGCGGTCCACACAGACACATAAATACAAGCGTGTGTGTGTGTGTGGGGGCAATATGGATCTACAACTAGAAAATAGATCTGAATCATTGCGCAATGATAAAGAAAATCCAATTTTTTCCTGGTCCATGAACTCATCATCAAGTCTTTTTACTTCCAGATTAACACATTTTTAAGTAACCAGACAGTTTTAAAAAATATCTTCTATGAATATTTAATTCTGAGGTAAATCAGAAGGGGTTAAAATTACTATCAGTGATGAGCAAGAGTCCAAGATCTGCTCAAAACCACAATCAGTGCATCACGAGTTTGCTATTTTTCCCTTGTAGACCTCATGATTTGTGTAATTAATCTTTTTTCAGCCTAATTAATATTTTTTCTCTTATGGTTTTTCCTAATCTGTTAAATTCAGAGTACATTTAAAAACATGAACATTTGCAAATAAAACAACGTTGGCCCACTGAAAAGCAAAGATTGTTCTTTCAAATCTTCCAGCTACTTAAGTTTTTCACCAGCATGACACTACTGACTGATGGTCATTCTGAATCTTTTTACGCATCTAATGCAGGTTTTTTCCTATTTGCTGGGTGTGATGGATTGGGTCATCCAATCAAACGTCTTTCTCCTGGTAGGATAGATTTGAGTTTAGTCTATGATGCAGCTCTCATCTGAAAGCTGAACGTTGAGAAAGCCGTTCAGCTCATCGCAGCCTGTGAGCTGGTGGTTGTCATTTTCTGGATGGATGACTCAGAGCGAGTCCCACTGGGCTTGTCCAGGCAAGCATGTGTCTGCGTGGAGTACATGTAGTTTTCCATCCAACTGCACAGGGCTGGAGGAAGTGAGTGACACCTCGTCACACTATTGTTTACATTTGTTTCCTTGGTGCCGCTGAGGCCAGTTAGCTAAACGGCTGCTAAACTCCTCTTCCAACACATGTCTGGAGGACAAATGTGAAATGGTTAGATGGTAACGTAAATAAATGTTGGCCAAGATTCCTCGTGGTTGTGAAGTGGTAAACATTTTGGCCTTTCTGAAGTTCGGAGTGCTCAGTTATCAGCATTAGTCACAACATTGTTTGATGCAGAACGGGAGGACCGTACACATGTGTACACATCTGTGGCTGTGAAAAACCGTTCCATAGTATCCAGCTTCCCATCTCTATGGGCTCGGTGGGTATTTTCAAGCTGTGGCCAATTATTTCACGAGTCCTATTGGTAGAACAAAGCTTTCCACAGAAACAGACGTTTATATAACAGGGCAACTGTTTTTTTTACCAGCACACAGCAAACCAAAGCTGTGTGAACAAGGACCTTTAGTTTGAGGTCAGCAGCTTCAAATTACCTTTATCTCAGTGCGGAACCTCCTAACATCATTCACGGCAGAAGTAGATAATATGTCACATGTCTGAGAACGCTGTTCTAATGAAGCGCTGTCCAGGCCTGCTGAGCAGAAACAAAAGGGCTCTGTTTGCTTCTGTGTCTGATAGTTTATAGACTGAAACAGCTAAAATATGTCTAACTGCTGTGGGGGTGAAACGTTGTTTGACTTTTAGCCTTTATCAAACACAAATACACAGCGTTGCGTACTGCCACTGCTGAAGGATTATTACACAAGGTCACTTTTGACCCGTGTCACAGAATTCCAGCTCGTTGGAAAATGATCGAACTCTTAATCCCAGCACAGATTATGATTGTAATCTCTAGATTTCATAAAACTCCCATCACACTTTACCCCCGTTGAAGAGTTTTACCACCGTAATCCAGCTGTTTCCAGTAAACATTCTTCAATTTGACAAAGCTCTATAGGAAACCACATTGATATATGTACTGTGTGTGTGTGTGGGGTGTGTGTGTATGTTTTCCAGATGTGAAGTGTTAATGTCATTGCTTCAAGGAAAGGCCGATGCACAAAGAAACAGATTTATTCTGCTGTTGTTTTTGATTTTGTGAGAAACTTGAAATATTTAGTCAAATTTGACATCTTCAACAAAGTAAAAACTTATGAATTGGCCCAAATCATAACAATCAAATGACACGCATTTGTATCTAAATAACTAGTTTTAAACACACCGCCATGATTAATCATTCCAAAATGTTCTGTTTGCATCGAGTCAGCCAGCTCACAGCATAACTTTCACTTTCATCATAGATAAAAGCAAAAATGTCTTTTTCTTGATGAGTTTGTTTGATTTTTAATTGCGCATGAGCCTCATTTTCTTAAATAAAGACTCCTTCTGTGTAAATGATCCCCGTGGTTTTAATCTGATAATCTCTCTTGGTAGACAGGAGGAGAATGTTTAGAGTCACTGGTTGGTTGGTGGTCCGGTTCTGTATCACCCGAGGTGAAAGTCAGAACCGTTGTTTTGGTCTTACAAGGAGATCTTCCCTTCATCGAGACAGATACTTCAGGGTGGACTTGATCCTGACCTGTTCTCAAAGGAGACTATTAACATCCCAGCTGGGCTTGAACATTTGAAGGATAATTTAATGTAATCCCACTTTTTCTTTGTATGTTCTGACAAGAGGATCTGGATTATGAATCCCTGACTAAAGAACAGGAATCGGGAGGCTTCCCTTGTATTTCAGTCTCACTGCTTTGTGATGATCTGTCTTTAAAGGTTCCAGATCATTCTATTTTAAATCTTTGAGAGCAAAGTTAGGCACAGTATACGATCAAATGTTACCGTTGGCACTGTTGATGTGTTGTTTATCTTAAATACGAGTTGTTTTTGTCCACCTGAATTTATACCCAGAAATAAAACGCTCTGTTTCAGTGAGACTCCGCCCACCCCCGCTCTGATGTGCCTACAACAGCGACTAGGTCGGTTGGTTACTGTATAGGTTATAGTAGTCCAGTGGTAAAGGCGTCTGCCTGGTATCTCAGCTTTGCCTGGTGCTGACGTGGGCTCGAATCCCGGTGTGTCGGCAGTCATTTAGTCAGCTGAAGCTTTTATATTTGAGTTGTTTTGATAATTTCCTGCAAAATATTTTGTGTCTCTAAACATCTTTGAATTTGGTCGTTTCCAAGCTGCTTTTTAGTTGATTTACTTTGCTCACTTATGGACTTGCACTGGCTAAATAAAGTACAAAAACACATTAGTCCTTACACTGTAGACAGTTTACCATTAAAGGATTGAGAACATAATAGTGGCAAGTGCAGCTAAAAAGTTACTGCTCAGACCGAAGCTGCGTACCAGCCCAGCACACTTACCGCTAGACCACCAAGTCTCCTACATGACACCTGCACCACATATCCTGAGCTGGCTAGGGGGACAGGTTTCAGACCAGAGACTAGCGTCCGGGAGAGAAGCAGGAAGATGGAGTTATGTACAACTTATAAATTAGGCAGTTTCAGGAATTTCAAAATAAAATTCTAAATTTGCAGCTGAAATGGGAAAATGCATGAACGCAGCCAAACCGGGGTTGGGTGTTCTTTTCATGAGGAAACAACAATATTACATGTTGAAAATATCCATAAAGTGGATTTTCCATAATATGGAATATAAATGATGGTAATAGTGTTTTGACTCCACTATAATGTGTTCGCAACATCTGGCTTGTCTTATGTTGTTGTTATGTTATAAATGTGTCTGAGAGCTCAGCACTGGCTATCGGAGGCCCCTACAGCAAAAAAAACTACTCATTTTTATTGTCAAATGTTCTGTTATTTATGTTAGAATGGAAGTTAGAAACTTGTCTGACTTCTCCTCACCGTGACATTTTGGGTTGCTCTTGATGTAATCATTTTACATGCTGTTAAAGATTTGTAGTAAATAGATCTGGTAAACTTTTCTGTTGTTTTTAAATAACTTCCCTCAAGTAATATTTAGGGCAGTAAAATAGAAATATTTTTCTTACACCTTCCATTATTGACCCCAGCACCTGTTTTTCAGACAAACACTGTAGTGTCCACATGTGTCTTCTTCCTTTCTCTAGTCGCTCTCCTTCTCATATCTCTCAGCACCTGTGTTAGTAGAAGCATAGTATACATACCAGGCATACTTCCAGTCTCAATGGGCCATATTCATCCATGTTTGTGTCTCTTCTTGACACCATCTGTGTTTTCCCTCTCATGTCTTCTTCAAGTCTGGGTTTTTTTTTTTTTTTTTTTTTTACATTTGTTTCCCTGAGCTGCTTCTGATATGAACTCCTGACTGATTAGATAATGTCTTTGGTTTTTATCACCATGCTTTGTGCAGCGTTTGGGTTAGAAGGAGCTCTTCCAGACTGACAAAACTCTTTGTGTGTGTGTGTGTGTGTGTGTGTGTGTGTGGGGGGGGGGGGGGGGGGGGCTATTTAGCCTGCATGTGCTGTATGTTGTCTTTGAAGCTCCCTCCCCTCCTCTACTCTTCCTCCTTCTCCTTTCAAAATCCATTTGGGTCTCTGATGTCTGGCTCTGCAAAGAATCACAAATTACTACCATGACACATGAAATGAGCACGAATGCAGCTCAGATCTACTGTGCACACAATAGCATGGAAGCAGTACTAGCTGTAGTTCTGCTCAAAGCGGTGCACACTTCTACATATTTGGCCAGCATACATCCCTGGTTATCAGAGGGATTGTCTTACCCTGAAACTGTAGACACTCACATGGATCCAGTTAGTGGGGAGAATTCTACACGTGTGAATTTCTCTTTCTTTCCCCCTTTTGTCACATTTGTTTTCAGGGATTGTTCTCTTGAATGTTTTGTTTTCTCTTGCAGGTCTTTGTCTCGTCTCTGTCCCCCACTGCAGATGACCTGTATATAGAAGGCCTAGCATCAGGGGACTCCCCTGTAGATGATGAAGGTGACGATGACGGATCAGGCTCAGGATCTGGAGACTATGGTGAGGATGATAAAAGTAGAGTCGGATATTTTAGAAATAAAATAATAACAATAGCTTATGAGTGCACTGAGTGGTGCTTTGCCTTCATTCATTATAAATAGTGTTTTGATCAAAATCATTTTTATTGCATAGATTTTCTCAATAATTTTAAAGTGAATCTTCTTCCTGTCCAACATGTATCATGATGATTTGTTTGAAACAGCCATGATTTTCCATGTAGACATGAGTGAGGGGTACAGCAGGCAGAGCCATTGTACAGTGAGACAATAAACCAGGTGTTTGTCCTCTGGTGATGTTTTCTTAACTAGGCGAGGTTTCTCTGAAGCCTCTAAAGTGAGATAATCCCTTCTTAGTCTCTGCATGAATCACTAAATGTTCACGCCAGAATATTTATAGAAATAAGCCGGAAGTCACACAGTTCCCATTCGTTTATACATCTGCCGAAGTGATGACCATTAAAAAAAATCAGATTACTCTTTCATTGTGAACATACTGTCTGTGGATTTTCATTTAAACTGGAGCCATAAATTATTGATCAGAGAGTCAGAAGGGGGAATGTGCTCGTGATGGTTTATGCTGCTTTCTATCTCAGCTTTCAGTGATGAAGAACAACAGATCACAGGGCTCTTAAACTTCACCTGGACCGCCTTAGAAGAAAATCTGCCAGTTCAACCACAGCCAACAGACTCCGCCCACAAACCAGCAACCACAGAGGCAGGCAGGCAGGACTCGACACCATCAGCAGAGGAACAGGACAACTCTTTCCCTTGGGATGGAAGGGATGAAGATGATCTGGTAAAAAAAACACCCATTTTCTTTAAAGTGACATTTTGTTTGTTTGATTTGTCTAAGGAAAGCAAATGTTATCGGTTTACAACAGTTTCAGGAGTTTTGTTTTTGAATTCTGATTATTTTTGTAATAATTTAAACTTTTGATCCATTTTCTGAGTAACTGCATATATTCGTTTAACATGTTTTAGTTTGTGAGATAATAATAATCTCAATTTTGAAGTGCCTTGACAGCGTTTCGCTTTGACTTTAATGGCTAACATAGTTCCAGTGAGAAAAGATCTAAATCCAGCTGATCGCTCAGACTGATTCCAGTGTGTGTTTTGTTGTCATGTCGTGTAATTCTCTCACAGATTCCAGTAACGGACACAACCGTGCCCACCGCTACTGAAACGCCTTTCATCGACGCAACTGAATACCTCCCCAAGTCTAAAAATGTTGAGGAGGAAATCCAGAACAGGGTGGATAATGGAAAAAGTTCTGCTGAAGGAGAACGACATGGGCGAAAGTTTAAAGTGGACTCTGCGAAGGAGGTGACCTCTGAGAACTTGTGGGAAAGGACCGACGTGCTTGCTGGTAAGGACACATGTTCATTATTTTTTCCATTGTGATAAACGTTGTGTTGCTTCTAAACGTGAATTACAAAAGGCAGAACAGTCCTGAAGGACCATTGTTAACATTTGCAACAAATGTGGAATAAAGTCTACTAAGTGTTTTATCTGCTCTCTCAGCTGTGATTGCATGTGGAGTGGTTGGATTCCTCTGTGCCGTTTTCCTGCTCCTCCTCCTCGCCTACCGCATGAAGAAGAAGGATGAAGGAAGTTACGATCTAGGAGACATCAAACTCTCTGCCACAGCGTATCACAAAGCACCAACCAAGGAGTTTTATGCCTGAAGTGAGACGGGCCCAATCTGAGGTGGAGTCCTGCCAATCAGGACGGAAGCGAATCCATCTACCAGCAGCTGACGACGACTCATTTAGATGAAGTTTTGAACTCTCTGCTCTCTCCAGCACACCATCTGGTTTTTACTGTCCCATCCCTTCCACCTCTGCCATCGTTTGATGCTTTTCTTTACTCAATGTCTCTTTCTCTGCAGAAAAACTCATTAGGACACAAACATATTTGTCTTTTCTCATCTAAGAAGGACTTTGGTATAAAAATGTCACTTTACATTTTATGAAAGGAATCTTTTCTTTATCTCGATGGATCTCAGCTGCTCCAACGTCAACTTTAAACCTCTGATAACACTGTGCCTTTAGATCCTCTGTAAGTTGGACCACGCTGTAATCCACTGTTGCTTTTAAAGGACCTACAGCTGAAGCCGTGCAGCTCCGCTTTACAGCACAACGCGAAGGACCGAATTAAGAAAGACAGATTCAATGTCTTTCATTTGTTGTTTGCTTTTACATTGAAATGGTACCACATATGCAAATAGTATTACAAAGGGCCTTCAGATCTGTCCCCCTTTTTCTTTTGAGGTCATGTGTTTAACAGCTGTGTGTGTTATGTATCATATTCTTCATTCTTCCTTATTGAAATGAATATTTTTGTTATGATACTGAATATGTCTTCATATGCTGTCCAGTATTGCTTTGAGAGATTTTGTTACTCTGCCGGTACAAACGTGTGTATTCCTACAGATATCTGACACTTAAAGGAACGACCAAATATAAAAGTGCTTTACTTGTCTTATGAAAGTAATTTTAGTAGATTTAAAAAGTGTTTTATTGTGTTAAGAAGATATGTAAGCTGAGCTCAAAGAGATTTCTGTTCTATTGTTCCAGAGTAAAAAGACCCTCAGGTATGCACCTCTGGAACATTTGTAATACCTTTAGGGATTATTTTACTTGGTGACTTTGTTCTGCAGGCATGATGGGAGACAGTTAAGCCACAACTAATAACTATAATTCAGAACCCAGAGAAGTGGCCAAAGTGTCTGCAGACAGCCAAATCACATTCCTCCCTCACCGTCCCTTCCATGGTGGTTTCAGTGAGGAGACGGTGTCGGCGTTTCAAGTTTTAGATTTCAAACACTAAAGCAGGTTAGAGAATATAACATGCAGTTAGTATTAAAGGAGATATATATTATTTCTTTTTCATCAGCAAATATATATGTAAATAGTCGTTTCATAGCAAATTCTCAGATTACCTCATATAGCCAAAGAAGGATGTAGAAGCTGCAGTTGGAGTCAACCGCCACGACAAAAGGGTGGTGGTGTTCTACGCTCTGCTGCTGAAGCTGTTTTTGTATAAAAGTAAAAAATCTCCTGTATGGATTTTTAGCCACCTGCTTCTAAAGCATCAGGATGGTGTCACAGCTGCCTTTTATTGATGCAGATGTTTTAAATGCGTCATGTTGCCATGTTTCAAACCAGTGTTTAGTCAACAGCATGACTCAGATTTGTGGCTTTGCAGTCGAAGCGGGCATGCGTTCAGCTTCAGATCTACAAAGTGAGTCCGATTTCAGGTCATTTGAAAGTCTGCATACATGTCACTTTGATCTCTGCATTTGGATTTTGCGTGACTGTCGGCTATGTTTGAGTCAAAGGTCATTGTCTTTCTTGTGTTGCTAAAATTGTTTGTCAGTGCTTTTATCTGTTTTTTGAAGCAACACTTTGAAAACTTTTCCAATGCAAACTACCTATTCACCATGGCTGGAATAAACAGGAAGTTGTGGTCATCGAGCCTGTGTGCCTTAGTGTAAAGGTGGTTTCTGTTTTTCCCGTTGGCTCTCTTCTTCAGTGCCTTACAGTGCTTGCATTCACTTCAGCCTGCAGCGCTGGTGCCGTATGAGCGTCAGGCTCTGAACCGTGGGCTGTGCAGGATCAGAAACAAGTTGTCTCTGCACCAGCAGTGTCTTGCATAAATCTGACCTAAAAACAGGTTAACACTTGCTGTTAATCTAGTAGGTGTTTTGACATTTGATCACTTTAAGCCTATGCACCATGTAGAATACACTTCTTTTTATGTCTAACTTTAATTCATTAATTCAGATAGAAAAAGTAAACAAATGTCACGGATAGTTAAGGTGGTACAGAGGTCTCCATGCAGCTGAGCTGGTTCTTTATAAAGGTTCAAATTCAAATTTTTGGGATATTTTACAACCTTTATTTCTATTTGCATCTTTATTATATGTAAAATATTAGTTTTTAATAATTATTTTTAATAAATATTTTAAGTAGAACAACTGGTTGTATGTAGATAAATGGTTATCTTCACGAATGAATCTTTGATTTGATCAAATAAACAATAATGAGCCACAAATAAGTGCCAGTCTGTCAAAAAGACATATGCATTGGGGGGGGGGGGGGCATGAGATAGCTGCCGCTGACGTTCTTGGTGTTACTTTACACTGAGTAAAAGATGTGGCTTTAATTTCTGTAGGATGCATTGTTTTCTTTCATTAATGTACTCGTCATTTACACAAATCTACTGTGTCAGTTGTGAGAAAAATATATTTTTTAATTTATGTTTTTTTTTATTTGGACTCAAGAGATAAATATTCATCATGTCGTTAAAAAAGACCAACACCTAGTTGCAGCATTTATTTCCTGCATCTGCAGGACAAAATCTATCCTTGCACGTAACTGAGCTTGTAACCTGGCCAAGTAGTATAACCACCTAAAATGCAAAACACACTGAAATAACAGTAAGATTAGAAAGTAAATAGCTGAAAGTAAATGAAGGCTTACAAAACATATACTTTTGCAATTTGTATAAAACTGAGTTAATCTGAAATGGGTGGAACTCTTAAAATGGATAGCAGTGCTTGCAGAGGAATGCTGAAAATTAGTGGTAAAGAAAAATGGGGGCTGAAGAACCACAGATTGGGATGTGGGCAGATAAGTGGTGTGTTTTCTACAGTGCGGCTCATGGCAACTAAAATGTTTACAAGAAGACTAAACCCTTTGTACCCTGTGGTAATTGAGGAAATACTGACCTTTCATAATGCAAAAGTTACTCCAAGCATTTAGGTATACAGCATGCATACTCTGACATGTGTGCAGCACGACTTCTGCAAGGTTCATGCGACTTGACTGAGTATTTTGCAATTGTTCATTTGTAAATGTAAAATTACCACAAAATAAATAATTTTAAGCTCTAAATTTGACTTATCTTGGAGTTGCAAACTAAACTAACAGAATTAGCACAAGTGACTTCACAACAGTTTATTAGTACTTTATAAAAGAGAAATACAGTGTATGCGTAGAATGTTCATAATAATAATATAATAATAATACTGAGAATGATAATAATAACAATGATAATGATGATGATAATAACAATGACAGTTAATAAAATAAACAACATAAATTCGGTGTGCTTTTATTGTGAAAATACACATACCGGAAGTTACGTTTATTATCAAGAATAATACGGAAACGGAGTTTAAACCCGTGACTTTTATGGTTGTTTTTAATGGTTTAGTAGAGCATCACAGCGGGATAATAACAGACACGGACTCCTGCTGAACGGTTGGTGTTCCCTTTGTCTCTGACTTGTCTGTTAGATTGTATAATAATGTCTGAATTAAAATACTTTAGTCAGATGTCTAATGTACGATACATTTTAGCAGGTAACTTGTCATAATTACTATTATGTGGATGTATTTAGTTTATTATTATTATTATTATTATTAATATTTGATATCATTTTACTATCAGAGCTTCGTTTTACCTGCTCAGGTACAAAGTGAAAGTAAACCTGATTGCCTTGAATAGAAAAATCTTAATTCACTTCTTTGTGTTTAATATTCAGTAACTACACAGTAATTCTGCTGAGTATTTAAACTGTCTTCACTGTATCATTGTGAGCTCAGTGACGTTGCCATGGTTACAGCTAATTTTCCCCGTCATTGTGTATTAACAATTACATTTCTGCTCACAGATGGATGGGGAGGGAAGACTGGCCTTCCTCCTCCTCCTCTTCATGTTTAGCTTGCTGTCACGTGTGTCTGACAGTCATCCTCACTCATTTGCCATCAGAGCTGCGTCTAATGAAACTGTAAAGAGAGGTAACCTAAACCTGCGCAACAGCTGTTGCTGTTATTAATGAAGCATTACAACCTTGTTGTTCAGCTGAAACGTTTTTGTAAAACTGATTCAAAATCGAGACTCGTGGTAAAGATCCAGTTTTCTTTTTGATCCCAGCTTCAGACACGGTGGCGGAGGTAGCAGCGTACGCTGATGTGGCCAAACGCATCATTGAGCTGGCTGTGTTTGGAGCTGCTCAGAACCGCTCCTATAAACGTCTGGCTGACTTTGCCGACACCATCGGGAGCCGAGTCAGTGGCTCGCCGAACCTGGATATGGCCATTAAATACATGTTCAGTGTCATGAAGCAGGATGGGTTGGACGTGCACCTGGGTGAGTCTGCATGGAGGGTTGAAGATAGTTTTATACTGGAGGCAAATATACTAAAATGTCTTTGAATGGTCGTTTTCCTGTTCAGAACCAGTGAAGATCCCACACTGGGTTAGAGGGACGGAGAGCGCAGAGATGATAGAGCCCCGGGTTAAGAACCTGGCTGTACTGGGACTGGGCAGCAGCGTGGGAACTCCTCCTGAGGGTAAACGTTCAACTGCACAAAGGAATCTGTGATCTCGCTGTGGTTTACTTCTGTTTTCTCCTTTCTCCTCAGGTATTGAGGCAGAGGTTCTGGTGGTTCAGTCTTTTGAGGAACTGAAGTGTAGAGCCAGTGAGGCCACAGGGAAGATCGTGGTTTTCAACCAGCCTTTCATCAGCTATGGAGAAACGGTGGCTTACCGGGCTTACGGGGCTTCAGAAGCGGCTAAACTGGGAGCTGTGGCCACTCTCATTCGATCTGTCACTCCGTACTCTATTAACAGGTGTTCATCCCGTTACTATTTTGGTCTTTTAAAGCCTCCTGATTTCTGTCAGTCTTATCTACATTAGTAACTTGTTGTCATCTCCATTTAGTCCCCACACAGGTTGGCAGGACTACCAAGATGGAGTGAAGCGCATCCCCACAGCCTGCATCACTGTGGAGGACGCTGAGCTGATGTGGCGTTTCTCCCAGAGGAAACAGAAGATTGTAGTCAGACTCAAGATGGGAGCCAAGACTCTGCCGGATGCTGACTCTTTTAACACGGTGGCTGAGATAAGAGGCTGGCAGCACCCTGAGCAGGTACCACTCACTCACCTGGCCTCAGACATTCCCACAGGGGTTTGGACCCTTATCCGATCTTTCTAGGGACCAATATAAAGTCAGGCAGGTTTATTCGTTGTGTAAACAGTCTATTTCCTGGATTACAAGTTTCACAAACCTGTCACATGTTTAATCACAAGATAGCAACTGAAATCCTAGATCTGTTAAAAAATAAACCAAACTTTTCATTACTTCTTTTAGACGGGTTCGTGGAAGTTACGGAATACTTAAAACCAGACCGAACTTTATTCTAAAAGCATCTTGATAAGGGAACTGGTTGACTGAACACAGGCTGAAAAAATAGTAAAAAATGTTTTAAGAATTTAACAAGATAGAAATGCTTTTAAAATCATTTTAAGTCAGTTGGCTCAACACTTTGTGAGACTTGTATTTATTACAGGAACCAGTTTATTTAAGGTCTGACTCAAAATTGTAAATTAATAAGGAAAAAACATCCTTTGTTTTAGGAGCTTTTCCTTATTGTGAGTGAACAGAGAAGCAGATCCAGGCTATTGCTCTGCTTTACAGTATCACAGGTTGTGTATGCATATGTGGACAAGGAGCTATAAATAGTCCTGCAGAACAGGTAAGGGGACAGAAATGATTTCCCATCACTTTTGCAACTACTGCAGAGGAAGAATTTTGGTGAGGAACACTGAAAAAAAACTTTTTTTTTTTTACCGTGTCCTGTCTGGCTGTGGAGCAAACAGAATTGATGTCTGAATGCTGGTGACAAGCCTTCCAGATTTACTCTCAGGTGGATCATCAAAGCGTCTGCTTTTAATGTCACGCCTGATACTTAAAACTTTATTGTTATTGTTTTTGAATGCTTTGTAATTCCGACCAGACAGAGTCAGAGGTGAAAGAGAAAGGAAAAGACAAAAGGTGGGGAGAAGGGGGGGGGGGGGGTGTCCCCACAAAAATAAACAATAATTAACAAGAGTCTGCTTCTAGACCTGCAGAAAGAGAAAGAATAGAAGAAGAAAAAAGGGACACACAACAATACATCCGGAGCAAGCTATCACCGCGTCAACCTGATGGTGAAATATAAAATCAACATTGTTCAACTGAACAATCACACGATAATAAATCATAGTGCATTTAGTGGCAACGACAGCCTTAAGACCTGTGTTGAACGTGCCCAAGCCCATTCTTACATTTTTAATGATTATTTCTGCTTATAATCAGTCACTCTGAGTTTTTCATGCAGGCTGAACATGAAAATAGTCTCCTACACCTATCTCAGGGGTGGACCTTTAAAGCGCCCGAGCGCCAGTGGCGCTACATTTTCTCGTCAGGCGGTAAATAATTGCACGGCACTGCGCAGGTTCACGTGACTAGAAGCGAGTTCACTATAAAAGACGGAGTGGAACCACGCTAGAAACACAGAAGCACGCAGGAAGATGGCGCCGCCACAGGGATGGGATTTCTTGATGAAACCTCCGGCAAAACAGTTTAAGACTGGTGAGGAGAAGCGAGACAGTTCGAAACAGTATGAAGCAGAGAAGCGTGTGCATGGGTGAAATGATTCTTGGCGGTTTATAGAAGACGGGAGGTGCCGAGAATGGCTCGAGTACAGCAAAGCGGAGGAGGTGATGTACTGCGTTGTATGCCGGAAGTATGCAACGACAAAATTGAGTTTTGTTGAGGGAACAAACAAATTCAAACTAGAATACGTTAAAGATCATGAAAAAACAGCGAGCCACATGAAGGCAGAAAAGACTGCTCTTGCAAATACAGCAACGGTAGGAGAGTCTCCAGCTGCAAAGGCCCTCGTGGCGATGACGAAAGCACAGCAACGACAAACTGGAAAAGTTGTTTCGCACGGCTCACGCCATTGCAAAGAAAGGAAGGCGAGTAAGTATTATTTAACAAAGTACCAAAATACTGGGTTTAATCTGTTTAACGATGTGTTTTTGTCCATTTCATTGTTTGATGTAGGAAAAAAGAACCAGAAAAGATGCACTGTAAGTCATCTTTGATTTAAAAAAAATCTGTTTAACTGCCATCTTCTGCTTCTTTTTAAAGATTTCCTTTTAAAGAACAAAAACATTCCTTTTTAAATTATTTTCACCTTTTCTTCCAGCCAGCCATAAACATGTGGTGTCATGATGTCCAACGGCGAAGGCGTCTTCATTTAGTGGATGGAAAGACTTCCACTGCTGCTGAGATGGACGACGCAGAGCCAGAGGAAGATTTCATGTGCGTGGGTCAGAGCCGCTTGCTCTCCATGATGAGCAAGAAATACGAGGACGAGCTTGACAAGAACTTTGAGGTGGAGTAACATACTAGTCCACCACTAGCCAAATGTTCAGCCTGCATCACAATGGTGCCAGAGACTGACACAGTGCTGGTTGCAAATATGTAAATATATACAGAACAGTTTATTATGTTTGTGAATGTGTACAAAATAAAGGTTTACTACATTTAAAACGGTTCAGTTGTTATTTTGACTCGTGTTGGCAGCTGACCTGCGGGGCCGGCAGATTTTCAGAGGTACCGGCCCGGCTGGCTGGTTGATTTTGAAGTTAATGTCCACCCCTGCTATCTCCTGCGTTAGATTCTGATAGAAAATAGACGGTGAAACTCTAAGATTAGAAAAGCCGGACAGATTTATGTCACACTGTCACTCAGTGTTCATGGACTCACCCATCTTGGCTCATGACGGGGAAGGCTGTTGTTCGTTTAGCATCCAGGAAACAGCAGAGATCAGCTAATAGAAGCTGCTAACCATTAGCATTAGCAACTCCACCACACAGCAGAACTCCTTCAGGCTTTTTTGTGGAGATAAAACATCAACATTGCAGAGCAAATAAAGCTGGGCGGACACTGCGACTTTTTCACTCGTAGCACTCAGCTTCAGCTCAAACTGTACCTGTGGCATGAACTACCGCAGCTAAAAATGAGCTAGTAGATGACGCAACACGTTGGAATTACAAGCACGAAGAAGAAAACCCCGGAAATAAACACCAGGAAAAGGAAAGACACGCGTTCGGTTCAGAGCAGAGAAGCGCCTGCATGCGCGCTGTTAACCGCAGTAATGCCCTTGAAAACAAGATGTTTGTCTTTGGCTCTTCTTGCCATCATGTGTGTCGATGAAGACGCCTGCTTTCATGTCTGCGCATGCGCCGTGAGCGGTTCTGATACTTTTTGGGTCGCAGCACCGCTTCAACAGTGCGATACCCTCACGAGGGACGAGCAAAATATCAAACACGCCAGAAGTCAGTGCGGGCTCACGATTGCTGATCGGTAGCTGGTCACCTGGTGTTAATCGCCTCGTAACCCCCTGTATACTACACCACGCTCAGCGCAAAACTCGCCCCGATTTCTTGCACAAGTGGAAAATTGGCTCAGAAAAGTGAAAAAGTTGCACAGTGTACGCCCGGCTTAAGACTGCAAATCTTGTCGTCTGAAGCTCAGCTCTGATGTGGCAGTTTTCTAGTTTCTGAAAACGATCCACTGGAGCTTTGTTTACCTAGAGTACGACTTACAGTGCTGTCCATAATTATTCATGCCCCTGGCAAATTTTGACTTAGTTACTTTTATTCAACAAAGTTATTGTTTGACGGGAAATGACAGGCATTCACTAAAGATAATAAGACGCTGTACAAGAGGCATTATGGTGGCCAAAACATTTCTCAGCTTTTATTTACATTTGAGCAAAAGGTGTCATGTCCAAGATTATTCATACCTTTCCGAAACTGTCAGTCTCTGGGAAAATCCAAAGTTATAAACAATTCCAAAGAGTCCAAGCTGTTCTAAGTAGAGGCTGACCAATATGGTTTTTTCAAGGCCGATACGGATTTTTAAAGAATTTTTTTGCCAATGGCGATCTCTAAAGCCGATCGTTATATATGTTTTAGCAGCACATTGATTGTGAAAGACAACTGAACACTCGCTGTGTGCAATATTAATGAAATAAGTCTTAATATTTATTGAATTTGAAATATAAAACAAACTCAAAACATAAAAAAACGGTGTGTTGTGTCACACTCTGTCCGGTCTCCCCATTCTGTTCAGTCTTGTTAATTGCTCCCACCTGCCTCTCATCACCCAATCACCCAAGGTCTCAGCTCCTCCTGTATTTAAACCCCGTCAGTCCTTTTTGTCATGTCAGTTCATTGTTTCATTGTCAAGCGTGTTCTTAATTAAACCTTGTGAAACTGTTCCCGTCTGCCTGCGTGCTTTCTTCACCTGCGTGTGGATCCTCACCTCCGCTCACCTCACCCGCACACGGTGACGTGTTTGGGTCCTTTTGGGCAGCACGGTAAGCCTGATTCCTACTTCTCTATCAGCCCTGCGAGGGAGCGACGCCTACGCGTTTACAGACGTTTTGCTCTCCGACTTCTCCATCACTCAGGGGGTGTTGCAATGTGTTTATATATTTCAGAGAATTTATAACAGACAGTTTTCCTTTGTTTTCCTCCACCTCTTCATGCGGTCGGCATCTCTAAACCCATGTTTCCTGTCATTTCCACCCACTAATAAAACGTTACTCACAGGTGAACAAACATTCATAATTTAAGACCTTTTCCGTGATGCGTTCTTCAATCTCTTCCTTGTCTGACGCTAAATATCTTGTCACTTTTGATGGGGCAACCGCGGTGATGGTTTAAATGGAAGTGGCCTGACCAATCTCAAGCTTGCGGTCTTCCTCATTTTCGACGGATGGTTAAAAATTTGGGCATGTCTTTGTCACCCTCTGTGAACCCATCATGGAGCCCTTGCACCGACGCAGACGGAGAAGTATAAATCAGGCTTCACAAGGTGTTCATTCCTACCAGCGACCACTGCAAAGGTATTGATTAAATGGGTGTTCCACACCTTTAATGGAAAACCTTTGTGCCTCTGCTGTGGCATGAAGGTTGCTTCAGTCTAATCAGTGTTTTCTAAGTTCAACTGGGAGCTGCAGTTTGGAGTTGTAGATAAAATGAGGGATTAAAACGTGCAGAAACGCATTTTGGGATTTTAGCTCGATGCGACTACATTGCATGACCTACGCGTGTTTAATGTGTGACGTTTCCATCATGTGAATCATTCTGGGGACTGTATTTAGCTGGAGGTTGCTGTTGAGAAACTGTGAATTGTATTGTTATTACCCTAAATGCTGTCATAGTCAAACATCTGCACCATTTGTTATTAAATGATATGTCGTGTTTATTTTTTACTAATCTTTCAGATTTTGGATTTAGTTCATTTCTAAACCTGGTAAGAATCAGATGCTTTTTTCCAATTATTTTTGTTTTCTGACACAGAAAAAGAAAACCTAATGTTTGGATAGATGTTGGTAGATGGAGCTTTCAGTGGATCTTTTCAGGAGGGACCATATGTTGTTTTACATCTGCTAGTCCAGTTTGTTAGAGCGGAGAGCACCGACCTCGTCTGCCTAGTTTAATTTCACGAGTTATGTTCAGTCTCTAATGATGATCCAAGTAAAAAAAAATCCTTTTAACATAAACTCAAAGGTTAAAGCTGATGTAAGCAGCTACCGATCCTGATCTGGAACCAAAGAGAGAACCGAAACACTTTGTGAGGTTGACATCATCTTTGGCTGTGAGTCTCTGTGCTCTGGTTTACAGTAGCAGCAGCTGTGTGTGTGTGTGTGTGTACTTTCCCAAAAAATGTGCATTTGAGATTTAGTGACTCATTTCCAAATTGAAGCTGCTCTTCAGAGCTTTCTGAGAACTGCTGAGTTGAGCTGAATGGATTTTTTTCCACCCACCACTTTTCTTTGAAAATAGAAGTTGAAAGGATGCTGACAGCCTCTGCTGAACGAATCTGCATTAGGTTGTTCAACCCTGGTGTGTCTTCTCAAATAAAAAGCGGCCTTAAACTGTCTGACGTGTTTCTTGTAAATGATTTTCACCCGTCGCGTGTCTTCTTCGGTATGAAGCACGTCCGTCTGCCGTTTTCCTCATGGATCGGTTTAACGAACAAATAAAAAGTCACCAGACGTTCGACCAGTTCTACTGAACAGAGTTGACCGAGTCTCACAGCGACTAAAGCAAAAAAAGCTGCTGCAACAATGTAAAAAAGGTTCACGTGGATGTTGAACAGCATAAGAAAGTCCTGTTTAATCAGCTGACTCAGACGCTGCTGGTGCATTTACAGTCCAGCTACAAACCGAATAGCCGACTTTAGTCGTAGGAAGATAAAAATGGGTTTATGTTCAACTAGTTTTAAAATTTACATCCAATCTTAGATTTGAATCATTCAAAAGTAAACCTCCCATCGTTTTGTTCCTGCGTTATTACGGGCTCTGGTCGTTTTCAGGTCTAAGGCTTGACTATAAAACCTCTGCAGCACAGAACATCAGCCCCCTGTCTGGCTACTGGGTCGTTGTCCAGATGATGTTTGTTTTGGTTAGGACGTTTTATTTTATTTGTTCCATTGTAGAACAGGAGGTCAGGTTTGTCCCTGTGACAGGAATCCCCCCCATTCCAATTCCTGGAAGAGGGCATAACATTTGAAATTGTGTGCTTTCACCTTCTGATCTTGTTGTTAAAGAGTTTTGATTCCTCTGGCTGATAAAAAGCGCCTGAGCATTTTAATCACAATGTCAGTTTTAAACATGTTTGAACTGAAGCTGCGTTTAGGAACTGCGCCCGGCACGGATGTTTATACAGGTTTTGTGTAAATTTCTTTAGGTCGTCTTACTGAGCGGACATTTGGATAGCTGGGATGTGGGCCAGGGTGCGATGGATGATGGAGGCGGAGCCATGATCTCCTGGGAGGCCCTGTCACTCATCAAGGACCTAGGTAACTCAGAGACAGATAGAGCCAGCATGAACACCTAATGTAGAAACGGGAAAACGGACTCAGCACTGAGTTCATGCAAACATTTTCCTCATTTTTAACTTCATTTCACCACTTTCACACAGTTTTCTATGTTTTCTGATATTTGAGATGTCTGGAGCAGAGTTCCAGTCATGTCATGAGGATTTTTGGAAATCCCGAAGAGGTGTTGCATTAAATCTCCTATCATATCCTGCATGGATTACTGGAAAGCACACATTCACCCAGGAGAGATGTGGGATGACAGAGTTTCACTGGCTGCCCTGACTTCTAACATTTCCATTGTTTGTATCTGACTGTGTGACAGCAGCTGTTTCCAACACAGATCCATGTCTTTGATAGATTTCTCCATCAATAACAACACCTCAGAAGTGTTTCTGTGAGATGGGACGTAAAGCAAGCATGGCTCAACCCTTCACAAATGCGTTGAGCAGTAAAGCTGACCCATGTCCAGTTATTTTCATGAATGCAGTTGTTTCGTAACCAGATGAACCACGTAGGCCTCAGAGTCTGATCCAGTTTCAAGTCTTTGTTTTCCTCCGAGAAAACGACGTAGAAAAAGAGAAGAATGTTAAATGTAACTTCAGACTGCAGGAACATTCAGGCCTCCCGGCTCGCTGTGTTTTAAATGACAACAACATAAACGTAAACATTCAAAACAAGTTTAAGTGAATGCTCTTTAGGTCTAACTAGATCAGGACAAGACATACAAACAAATAAACCTCCAGAATCCACTTTTTCACTGTTATTAGTAATAATAATACTTGTGAGAGGGTTTGTAGTCACACAGAGGACAAACGCTGTTTTTGTTTTTCATTTTTAAGACCAGTTGCCTCCGATTCAGTTGAACAGCACTGAGTTGTTATGCACGATCCCTGAGTTTCATTCATTTCTGTCCAGCAGCTTATGAGTTTTTGCTACACACACACACACACACACACACACACACACACACACACACACACACACACACACACACACACACACACACACACACACACACACACACACACACACATACAAGTCATGCTGCGTGCCTTTAGCCTCATGGCTGCAGACAACAATAAGCTGACAGGCTTCAATAACAGGCAGGGACGGGTTGTAATTACAGCTGATGTATTTATTATTTGTATCTTTGTTTGGCTCGTATGAATCTATCTGTTCACAGGTCTGCGCCCAAGAAGAACCTTGCGGACGGTGCTGTGGACAGCTGAGGAGCAGGGTGGAGTCGGAGCTCAGCAGTACTTTAATCTACATAAGGTACCGTTACTGTAAGCTACCAAAAAAAAAAAACACTGTAAGGCAAATATTTTCCCACTCCATAAGAGGCTGGAGGGGTCAGAGCATTGTGAAAGCAGTGAAGGAATGTGGAAATGTGCTTTCAGCAAACTGGAAAGGCCTTGGCTTGCTCCCAGGTTTTTGCATGGCAAGGATCTACGCAACAATCTTACAGTTTCCTCCTCTTGGAGCTTTGGCTGCCTACCAGGCTCAAACCCCACAACACGCTACAGCCCTTTAACCAGACATTCACATTTGGTGCATTTGAGCTGAATTCAACATGTACACTGTTCACCAGTGTACCATAGCCACCAAATATGTGGCTCACATTCTTTTAATTAGAGTTTTATTTGGCTCAACTATCAGCTTCTGTAGTGACTCCTAGTGGCCGTTGAACTGTGCAGACCTCTGTGGTTTTTACTTCTTTTTTTAACTTTTCTCCACACAGGTGAACATGTCCAACTTTGACCTTGTTATGGAGTCTGATCTGGGGACGTTCTCCCCCGTTGGGCTGCGGTTTACTGGCAGTGACGCAGCACAAAAGGTGACTTTTAGTACAAGATGCGAATCCCTCAAGATTAGATGAAATACAATTTTTGGGAATATGTTTTTGTACAAACGCTTATTTACTTTTGGCTTTATCTTGACTTGCCTGAAGGGTGAATAGAGAAAACCATTCCTGATTTTTTAGGTTTATTTGGCAACATTAAAGGGGCAGTGTGTAAGTGTGTACCCTGTGTGTTGAAAACGTGACTCTTTATTGCCACAGAGCTCAGACTGAGAGTTGCAGCTACGGTAGCCCACACATCAAAAAGGCAATATGTCGACAACCTCCAGCTTTCACTCCAGCGATCAGGTCCGTTCTTTTTAAATAGCACAAGCTTGATAGTGTAATCAATTGCCAATCTTGCTAGCCTAACCCGCACAATCGAGTGCATTTTTAATTATTACTGTCTACCGGTCATGAAGGAAGCAGGCAAGTTCTGTCACGCCGCTTGAAGAGCACAGCTATCACCGATTTACACGTGGAGAAGGGTTTGCGTCAGCCAGGCAGTTCGGTGTCACGTGGATCTCGAGAAACAGCGGTGGAGTAAACAAGCTGGCTGCCGCCTAGCTACCAGCTAACAGAGGCGCTGTGGAGATGAAGTAATCAATGCTAGCTTAGCCACCGGCTAGTGACTAGCTAGAGCGTGTTAGGAGGGACACGACAGGCTGTGGGAGGAAACGAGATTTGAGTCGAAGGAACTTTACGAGGCGTCTTGAAAAAGGACTTTGGAACTGATACGTCTGGACCGGACCAGGAGCTCTAGTATGAATGAAAGACGAATGAGCAACAGTCCAGCTCTTGGCGGGCAGGGAGCTCGTCGTATGTGGCTGCTGAGAGTTGGACATGATGGGATCCTGTCACACTTACACATTCATTGAGTTCATCGTTTGTTAATCAAACTAACCGAGTACACAGAAGCAGTGTAGGGAGTCTCTTCTTCTTCTAAGTTGGTTTGGCAGTCTCCTTGCTTCCAGGGCATACTGCTGCCCTCTGCTGATTCTTTAAGGTTACGGTCAAAGTGCAAACGCGGAACGCAGAGTTTGTATGTCCTTAAATATCTACCGTATTCCAAGATGGCGTATGACCATCGAGCGTCGACCATTAAGGGAGGGAATCAATTTCCCTCTGGGATTAATAAAGTATTTTTGAATTGAAATGAATTGAATTGAATTAAAAATGTAAAACTTCAAGCTGAGAGGAATATTTAGAATTTATTGATGATGAGACATATTAATTAAAAAGGACATTTTTGTGAACGGGATACACATGATTTGATAGTAAACAGGTACAAATATTACACACTGTGGCTTTAAGCTGCATTTTTTTAACCAATTTTAATATTTTACAGTTCAGTGTTCGTAGTTCTGTTTAAAAACTGGATAAAGTATCGTGCAACTAAAGACACTGTTTTCAGTTTGGAGTGAAGGTTGAATACATTTCTCTGTTCGTATCGACAGGTGATGGAAGAAGTTGTCAAACTTTTAGCTCCCATTAATACAACCAAACTGGAGCTGAATGGCGAGGGGACGGACATCTCACCGTGGATGCAGGCAGGCGTACCAGGTCAGCTTAATCCTTAGCTTTGTGGGTCTTTAGCAACACGTCCGTGTAAACATCCTAACGTGGAAGTTCAGACCTGAGACAGACACCAAACTTGACTTTATTTTAAGAGTAACTGTAAAAAATGTATATCTTTCCCGTTTTATCGCGGTTCTGGTTTTGATGACCGCGTCTACTAAAAGTGCTGTGCACAAAACTTTTCTTTTTTTATTCTGAACTATGAACAGATTGTGGAACAATAAAAGGAAGTGGAAGAAGAAATGAAACTTAAGATGAATTTTGTTACATATATGAAGTTGTCAGTAAATTAATCGCTACTATATTACATTAATAAAAAAGAAACACTTTGTGAAATGCTTTACACATCTTCAGTGGACTCAGAGGGAAAAACAGCTTCAGTTTCTTGCCTTTTTTGTTATTTTTTTATAAAGTTCTTGTATTTTAACCTTTAGGTTAAACAAATATGGCAGTGATGCTCTGTGAGGAACGGCTGAGGGTTCAAGGGGCATTCACAGAAGATTTTCTTCAGTATTTCTTTCACCGCTGTTCGTTCAGCCAGTGTCTGTGTGAAAGAGACACAAGGAAAACCGCCAAACAGGATTGTTAGTAACTATTAGACAGGCATGTTGTTCTTTGTTGCTTTTATATCAAATTTAAGAATGTCTATAAATCAGCAACAATCTGAGAACAAACACTTCCTGTCTGCAGCTGTGGGACGATCAGAAAACTGGTGAAAGTGCAAACACAACCTCTGCTGGGAGCGCATATTTGTGTAACTTCAATTACATACATCAGGGTAAAAAGTAAACCTATCATTGTGTTTTATTTAGCTGCAACAAGAGAGCAAAGTCCCGTCAGCACAGAAAGCACAGCCCAGGGTTGTAATTACAGTGGATTTCCTTCATGTCTGATTATCAGCCTGCCTCTAACGTCGTAGGATAAGAGATGAAAAAGGAGCTGGATACCAGTCAACCTTTTCTAAATGGTTTGTTTTTCATCCTAATTTGGTCAAAAGAACAATATGATGTTGAATTAATCTGAAAAGCTGTAAGCTGGTCAGAACTAGAAGTGACATTTTTACAGAGAACTCCTGATGGTGTAAAAGCATAGTGATGAAATCACAAAGAAATAAAGCTCATAACCAGACAGGATTTGTTTTACTGCAACACAATACCTGTAAGTCAAACCACATGGTAGCGCTGTTTAGCACAATTTAGCTAAACTTTTTCTTTCCTGCTTTGATTTGCCACTGGAATGTGATATGTGGTGTCTTTCTGTCTGGGCTGATTTTAAAGAGCAGCACAAAAAATCTGCAATCTGGTTGTTCGGGTGTAGCTGTAAGGATTATGTAAACCTCCTCCAGCACTGATTCATCCAGACGTGTTGTGCATGAACCTGTTTGCCATCCCAGGGGTGTTCTCTGTCCTGTTTGCATGTCCAGTCGATCCATTGGAAATAAGCTTTGAAAAGTAGAAATGCTTATTCTCAGATTCTATTATTTATCGCCTCCCAATTCAGGTTATTTGAACAGGTTTTAAAGAAGATACTTGATCAGTGTAAAAGCTGTTTTCTTTTTGTTTTTTCGTTCCTTAATGGAGGCCGGCATAAAAATCTGTTCTTTTATTTCAATAACGATAACTTTTTTGCATAATTTCACCTCAGGTCCTGCAGACATGCCTGGATAGATTAGTCCAGATTATCTTTCTGCCAAGTTATTAATGAAAAATAAAGTTTATTTTCAAAGTCTAAACAAAAATCCACTGAATGTCCTAAGAGGAGTAATGTGGAGAATAATATAAAAGCTGTAAACTACAGGTGAAAGAAAAAAATGAGAATATGGTGCCAAAGTTCGTTTATATCAGTAATTTCACTTAGAATGAGAGACCATCTAAAGCAGGGTTACAGAAATATAAAGGTCCGAGGACCACTCAACAAAATGACCTTGGAGCACGAGGTCCGGTCTGGTCCGGCCCGGGGGCGGGGTGGAGTGCTGCTGGATTGTCGGACCAGAGGGCTGCACACGCATTTCGGTGCCCACAAAGATTGAGTACTGCTGATCTGAAGGTTCAGGAACCGTTTGCAGGTGTTCTGTATTTATTAGCTGATTAGACTGTGACACCTTGAGTCTAGTGTTTTAGTAGTAGTTCACAGGATCTTTCATGGAGGTAAATTCAAAGAGTCGGAGTACCTGGCCCGGAGGGTTACCGGGGTCCCACCCTGGAGCCAGGCCTGGGGTTAGGGCCCATGAGCAAGCGCCTGGTGGCCGGACTTTCGCCCATGGGGCCAGGCTGGGCCCAGCCCGAACCGGATACATGGGCTCATCCAACTGTGGACCCACCACCCGCAGGAGGAACATGAAGGGTCCGGTGCAGTGTGGATCGGGTGGCAGACCGAGGCGGGAGCCTTGGCGGTCCGATCCCCGCACAAGAAAACTGGTTTTTGGGACATGGAAGGTCACCTCGCTGGTGGGGAAGGAGCAGGAGCTTGTGGCAGAGGTTGAGCAGTACAGGCTAGATATAGTCAGACTCACCTCGACACATAGAATTGGCTCAGGAACCCAAGTCCTTGAGAGGGGCTGGACACTCTCCTTTGCTGGAGTTGCTCTCGGTGAGAGGCAGAGGGCTGGGGTTGGCTTTTTGTTAGCCCCAAGACTCTCTGCCTGTGTGTTGGGGTTTACCCCGGGGGACGAGAGGGTAGCTTCCCTCCGCCTTCGGGTCGGAGAACGGGTCCTGACTGTTGTTTGTGCTTATGGGCCAAATATCAGTTCAGAGTATCCACCCTTTTTGGAGTCCCTGGGATGAGTACTAGATAGTGCTCCATCAGGGGACTTCAATGCTCACGTGGGCAATGACAGCATGACCTGGAGGGATGTGATTGGGAGGAACGGCCCTCCTGATCTGAACTCGAGTGGTGTTTCGTTATTGGACTTCTGTGCAAGCCGCAGTTTGGCCATAACGAACACCATGTTCGAACATAAGGATGCCCATCGGTACACTTGGTACCAGGGCAGCCTAGGTCGCAGGTTGATGATAGACTTTGTAGTCGTATCATCTGACCTGCGGCCGTATGTTTTGGACACCCGAGTGAAGAGAGGAGCGGAGCTGTCAACTGATCACCACCTGGTGGTGAGTTGGATCAGATGGCAGGGGAAGATGCTGCGTAGACCTGGCAGACCCAAACGCATAGTGAAGGTCTGCTGAGAACGCCTGGCAGAAGAACCTGTTAAGACGGTCTTCAACTCCCACCTCCGGCAGAGCTTTGACCGCGTCCCGAGAGCAGTGGGGGACATTGACACCGAGTGGGCCTTGTTCCACTCTGCGATTGTTGAGGCGGCTGTTGCTAGCTGTGGTCGCAAGGTGGCCGGTGCCAGTCGTGGTGGCAACCCCCGTACCCGCTGGTGGACAGGCTGAAGAAGGAGGCCTACAGGGCGTGGCTGGTCTGTGGGTCTCCGGAGGCAGCAGACAGGTACCGGATAGCCAAGCGGGGTGCAGCAGTGGCAGTTGCCGAGGCAAAATCTCGGGCGTGGGAGGAGTTTGGTGAGGCCATGGAGAAAGACTATCGATTGGCTCCAAAGAGGTTCTGGCAAACTGTCCGGCGCCTCAAGAGAGGAAGGCAGCAACTCGCTCACACTGTTTACAGTGGGGATGGGGAGCTGCTGACGTCAACTGGGGCTATAGTCGGACGGTGGAAGGAATACTTTGAGGAGCTCCTCAATCCCACCTATGCGCATTCCGAGGAGAAACCAGAGCCGGGAGACCTGAGGATGGATTGTCCAATCTCGGGGGCAGAAGTTGCTGAGGTAGTCAAACAACTACACAGCGGCGGAGCCCCGGGGGCGGATGAGGTTCGTCTTGGGTATCTCAAGGCTATGGATGTTGTAGGGCTGTCATGGTTGACACGTCTCTGCAACATTGTGTGGTCATCCGGGGCAGTTCCTGTGGAGTGGCAGACCGGGGTGGTGGTCCCCATCTTCAAGAAGGGTGACCTGAGGGTGTGTTCCAACTATAGGGGGATCACACTCCTCAGCCTCCTTGGAAAAGTCTACTCCAAGGTACTGGAGAGGAGGGTCCGATCGATAGTTGAATCTCAGATTGAAGAGGAGCAATGTGGTTTTTGTCCTGGCCGTGGAACTGTGGACCAGCTCTATACCCTTGCAAGGGTGATGAAGGGGGCATGGGAGTTTGCCCAACCAATCCACATGTGTTTTGTGGATTTGGAGAAGGCTTATGGCCGTGTCCCCAGGGTCACCCTGTGGGGGACGCTCCAGGAGTATGGGGTGGGTGGCTTTCTGTTAAGGGCCATTCAGTCCCTTTACCAGAGGAGCGTGAGTTTGGTCCGCATAGCCGGTAGTAAGTCAGACCTTTTCCCGGTGAGGGTTGGACTCCGCCAGGGCTGTCCTTTGTCACGGTTCTGTTCATTACCTTTATGGACAGAATTTCTAGGCGCAGCCGTGGTGTGGTGTGTGTCGAGTTTGGTGGCAGAAGAATCTCGTCTCTGCTTTTTGCGGATGATGTGGTCCTCCTAGCTTCATCCAGCTCTGATCTTCAGCTCTTGCTGGGTAGGTTCGCGGCCGAGTGTGAAGCGGCTGGGATGAGGATCAGCACCTCCAAATCTGAGACCATGGTTCTCGACCGGAAAAGGGTGGCTTGCCAATTCTGGGTCGGGGGAGAGGTCCTACCTCAAGTGGAGGAGTTTAAGTATCTCGGGGTCTTGTTCACGAGTGAGGGTAGGAGGGATCGGGAGATCGACAGGCGGATCGGCTCAGCGTCTGCAGTGATGCGGACGCTGAGCCGATCTGTCGTGGTGAAGAGGGAGCTGAGCCAGAAAGCCAGGCTCTCGATTTACCGGTCGATCTACGTCCCAATCCTCACCTATGGTCATGAGCTTTGGGTAATGACCGAAAGAACGAGATCGCGGATACAAGTGGCCCAAATGAGTTTCCTCCGTAGGGTGGCCGGGCTCAGCCTTAGAGATAGGTTGAGGAGCTCGGACATTCGGGAGGG